TCCCGAAGAATCTCTCTTGCCACATGCACGCGTACATCTGATGTCTGGGTTTCTAGTCTGGTGGCGTGTCTGACTCAGGCGCAGCAGGCGAGTAGATGGGTAGGTAGAGCTGGGAGTGGATGAGCTTCTCTAGGGATGGTATCGCCACAGACATTAATATTATTAATTGCAGCAAAGTAAGAATAATCCAAACCAGAGTCTGCCATCTGACTCGTCTAGTGTGAGGCTGAATATCGTCGGAGAATAATCAACTGACAGTGCATGTCAGCTGATCCATCTTCGTCATCTCACTCTCTTGAGTGACCAGCCTGACAGGTATCCCACCATTTCACCCGGGTTTCGGGGTGTCAAGGGCGTGGTGTGTAAGAACGATTGTTAGCAATAGGTAGATGCCAGTCTGGAGGCTGACATAGGGTTTCTATAGATTGGGGTGCAGGCAGCAACACGAGACAGCAAGGTGGAAACTCAAGGCAACAAAGGTGACTGAATGGCTTGTAAGCAGTTTACTGATCCGGAATTCCGGAATGACTCAAACTGAATAATAAGTCGAAGTACCATCGATAAAGCCTTGCTTGCCTGTTGCAATAGATTGAAAAAATGACAAACGGAGATTTACCTCTTTCGTGGTTGGGGAAAATAGTCACAGGTCAGAAAAAAAAAAGGCAACAACACAGAAGAAGAGAGATGACACAAAATGGAAAGAGAAGAAATTTAAAAGAATAATTAATCGTGCCATGGTTATTATAAATTTATAATCCTATGTACCTAACCAATGCAAGATGCGTCTGCCACATACGAGAGTTGCCATTTTTGGAATATATAGATCGCGATCTTTCTAGGACAGGACGACAGAATATGGACAAATTCATTGAATATCGGATATGGACCAGATTAAGCGATTCATAACTTCGCTTTCTGTGAGTAAAATAACACTCATACTGAGAAGGCTTGCTTGCTTCCATTTCTCAGAAAGATTCCTTCTAGTCTGATGCACATACATACAATCAAATGAGTTTGGAATTCCTGTTTTTGATAAAGTGCAAAACTATTGACATCTGTATAATATACATGATTGATTATGGTTGCACATTCTCAGGAATTCCCTGATTTTATTCCGTCATTTCTACCTGGCGAACAAGAATCATTACAGTCTTATTTGATAAATTCATTTCTGACAAGTTCTAACGATACATTTGTCTTGTCAATGATATTCATTTGCTAGTTTCTCGATAGAGCCCCTAGACTCCCACGCCGTTCATGACACAATTGATCAATATACCGTGCTCGAGACGAGTAATGTTTAATGATTGCAGTCCAGGCCAAGAAATGGTTATGCTGTTAGACTTGATGAAAGTCCTCATGCTGATGCTGCAGACAGACACGAGGCAGATATAAGAAAGACTCGGTGAGCATGAGAAAGATTACTGAAAACGTTTTCTCTCTGTCTTTTTCCTTTTTTTTTCCTGCTTGATAGACCTTATCTGTTTTTCCTTCGACTCTATTTTATCCTCCCTCTTGCTTTTCGAGTTCATGTTCAGCAGTCATCCAAGACGACGAGAACTTTCAGACTACGTGACTTCGTCAATGTCACCCTCCAGCACAGTGTCTATAGCCATTTCATTACCCCACAATATCTGCATGTCTAATGCAATGTTACACAAACTCATTACTAGCTTCTCTAACTAATTTTAACGTTTATATTGACAGCTTTATCTATTTAGCCCCGGTCCAGACTGGAAGAGGAGGACGAAGAGCACTACGTCTATTCTCCATATTGGACGTCCTCGCCATTGTGGTATTTCTCTCTCTCTCTCTCTCTTTCTGCGTCCAATCGTAGTACGAAGAACTTGAAAAGGAGAGTCTTAGGAAGGAGCTTTGTGTGATAACCCCACCTTCCCCGCAGACACTGTCTCGCAAAGATGAAGCAACAAATCATGAAAACGTACAGTTAGTTACTCATGCTGGTTTATTTTACTATTTATTGTGATACTGTTCAGTTGAAATGATGCGGGCGGTTCCCAGCACCGTCTAGCATGCAGTGGCTTGAAGAATCCGAACAGACCCATGTTGCATGAAAAGACAGGACACATACCCTCGGGTTTCCCGCAGGGTTACTGGGCGAGATGGAAATTTGACTGGCTTACTAAAAATGAGTAAGTCAACTCTTCTCTCTCAGTCAGAGAATAATCTTCGTAACAGTGGCGTTCCACTATAGGGCCCCTGCATGTTCAAAGCAAGGCGCTTCGACGCATCATTTTCTTCCAGTGACCCCTTCCAGACGGCCTCTGCTGGCCCAGACCTTTGTTTCACCGCCTCACCAGTTGAGCAGGCACGTCTAAGCACTTCGATGATAACCTCAGGCTGGCTGACTGGAAGTGATGCGAACCAGAGACTCCAGTCGTGTTATAACTCTTATTCCAGCGGACTCGGGCGTCGGATCGGGCATCCGTGATCACTTATGAGGTTCATGGCCAATGAAAATGTCAATGTTGGAAATATCATTTTCTTGGGCTGGTTGGGCTGTTATGATGGGCCTATGAGTGACCAAGACCCGTGCCCCAGTCAATTACGGGGACAAATCCAATAATGGGAGCTAAACCACCAGAACCTGTGATTCGCGCTACCTTCTTTACAGCAAGATAAATGCTGACGAAGCTATTGCCACTGAGTATCCCATCAATGGATCACGTCTGAGTGTGCTGGTTTGCACGTTTTATTGGAGGTTCAGATGCAGCCAGACATTTGTTTCTGTCGAAGCAAAGGGTTGGCCAGTTCCCTGCAGAAACTCAGCTTCCACGATACCCGATTGCATCACTCTTAAGGCCAGGGCATGCATCATAAGATCAAGGAGAAAGGACAATGCTCAAACTTTACTTGGTTGGACACTTTTTCCTAAAAGACTTCCTTGCATGCCAGGCAGAATATATATGTCGTGACCTGGGCGAGAAGCATATTACAGCCTCACTCCTCGAGACAAAAAGAGGCAATATTCTGGGTTGCCTGCTGACAAACCTGCAGAAGATAAGTACGAAAGCTGAGACTGGCTGAGCTGACATCAGACGATCAGCTTGACGTACGATTCTGCAAGATCGTGGACAAATGGCAAGGTCAGCAAAAGACGGCCATGTGCATTTGCATGCGTACTTTTGCCCGGGTGTCTTTCTCTCGTGTCTACCGGTTTGGGTATATTTTCGATGAGAGTACGCCCAGTAAGGGATGGTTCTACAACGATTAATGGATAGACCTAGTCGTATGTCAAACCGGAACTATATTGGGTTTGGTTGGTACATTCTCCTCCGTGAATCCTACTTTGGTCTCGATATTCATAACGATACCATGACACGAGGAGTTTACGAGAAATGTACCGTATACGCGGTTAGCATTGTACCGTACAATCGGAAAGGAATCTCAAACACGAATATATAAGATTTATGTCAGTATATACAGTATATACGGCATTCAATGCGTCTTTTCCAAGAGATTTAATCACTTCCATGGGAGAAAGACGCATATTCACTAGCAATTATCATCATACCATCTCCGATTCAAGATAAGTACCACTCTCAGCAAATAAATGTATAAGAAAAATACACTTTTTCTAAGACGAAAATCTATATAGCCTAGATCTCATCCACTTGAATGGAAAGTTATGGCATTATATCGGTTCAACTCTCTATGGTACAATAGTAAGACCTAAAAAATATCGATATTAGGTTAGGTTAGGTAAATTATGAGATATGTTAGAAGTCAGAAAATAGAACAAAAAAAATACTACACCGTAAACTGCGCGAGCGAAAAAACAAGGAGTGATATGGTTTATATCGTACGATCTACTACCTACTACTTACGCTATCTATCCTTCTCTGTCTCTCTCTCTCCTCCTCTCTCTCTCTCTCTCTTTTCCTTCTTAAGTACGAAAATCACAGCAGATATCCAAATATTATCCTAGCCATACACTAAATTTTAAATTCTAAATCTAAATTAAATCTAAAATCTGGATCGAATTGTTCTTGTGATAACAATCGGATTAATTAGGATATGGAGCAATCAATCAATCAATCATCCGGTCGTTGGCTCTTTAATTCGACGTTTTAGTACTTTGTACTTTGTCGATATGTCTGCTTTTTACCTTTTTTCTTAATGGTTTACTGTCAATTGCTCAATTGATTAATTTATTGAATATGAGAGTGAGAGTGAATATTTCTCCTATACCTTATACCTGCATGGTTGCTTTCCTTTTTTTTCCCTTTTTCTTCTTTTTTTTTCTTTCCCCTTTCAACCTGTCTAATGGGTTGTTTGCTGTCCTTAGATACTTGAATTATTCCAGCACGCATTAATTAATGCCAATGAGATTTATGAGATTTGCGCAACATGCGAGATAGAAGGATATTACTGATTCTGGTACTTTTTGTTCATAGGCATATATGAGAAGAAAAATGAGTACTGGAAAGATATCTTGGATGTTGAGAGAAGAACGCGCATATTTTTTTGTTTTTTTTACCTGCAAAGATTAAAATGGAAAAGCATCTGCGAAATGTGTAGTTCAAGAGGCCATTCAAGTTTTTTTTCTCCTTACTTACTTGTGTTTTCTTTTCTGTCGCAATCATGATTTTAAATACTTGATGTACGGAGTAGTAAATGATATCTATAACGTGGGGCGTTAAGCTCATTAGCGGGACTGCGGCACGCGGCACTAAACCAACCAGCCAGTCGGTGCCAAGCACGCGGCCAGCTAGTGATCCAGGGCATAGACTCCGACTAGAGGACAGGTGTCAGCACTCCGCGTTCTGCTGATCGGTCTGTACAGAGTCCGCCGCACTGTACAGATCAAGATCAAGATCGAGATCAGCAGGCGATGCTCTCGTTCATCGCGAGCTCTTGTCCTTAAGTCAAGCGGGGTTCTTCTTGCATGGATCGCCTGCGCCCGCGTCTCTCCGCGTCCTTGAGCTCGTCGAAGCTCTCCCCTCAAACCTACATTCCCCGGACCCGATCATTCCACCATGGCAGAGTCATTGACTGATATCTGCCTTCACTGCGTGGAGCTGATTCGCCAGGTCCCCGTTTACATCTTGCTCATATCCTTTGTCGCAACCTTCGTTGGGTTCATTGCGCTGGTACGACGCGTCCGTTGATTTCAATCAACTTGCCAGTGCACGAGTTACTAATACAGGTACAGGCGTATGTGTTCCTCTTCGCGGTTGCGCCCGAACCTCGAAAGCCCTTCCCAGAAGAAAAGAACTTCCGAACATTGTCTGAAGATGGCGAGGTTACCGAACCCCAGCCACTACCGTGTTGGCAGGACGCCTGGGAATCAGAGAGAAAACGCGGTCTGAACAATGGCGCTGGCATTGAGCTGGAAAAGCCGGAGCTGTTCATGTCAGTCGTGGTGCCGGCTTACAATGAAGAGGAGCGTCTCGCGGGCATGCTGGAGGAGGCAGTCAACTTCCTCGAACGCTCCTACGGCACATTGGCCGAGGAGAAGAATGGCCGTCCTGGCCGGTCAGAGAAAGGTGATGTACGAAAACGAAGAGCCAACGAGAAGGCCAATGGACACGCGGCCCCTTTTGCGCAGCCCAGAGGCTGGGAAATCCTCATCGTGTCTGATGGGTCTACGGACAAGACGGAGGAGACGGCATTCGCGTTCGCACGAGAGCACCAGCTTTCGCCGCATCCCACGGGTCACTGCGGTCCGTGGACGCCAGAGGCCCGCGAAGGGATCCATATCCCTCCTGGGAGTATCCGGGTTGTCTCGCTTACCAAGAACCGAGGTAAAGGCGGCGCTGTCACACACGGCATGCGCCATGTCCGGGGCCAGTACGTGGTCTTTGCAGACGCAGACGGAGCGACCAAGTTTGATGATCTGGCGAAGCTGGTCACTGCCTGTCAGGCGGTTGAGGATTCGGAGAAACGTGCCGTCGCGGTCGGTTCGCGGGCCCACATGGTTGGCAGCGAGGCCGTTGTAAAGGTATGGACCGGCGATTTTTCACCTCTAGGATTCATTTTAATCTGACATCTGTGCACGCAGCGGTCGAAACTGCGCAATTTTCTGATGCACTCGTTCCATCTGATCCTGTGGCTCCTGACGCCACCAAAAACCGCCACCATCAAAGACACCCAATGCGGGTTCAAGCTCTTTTCCCGCGCGTCGTTGCCGTACATCATCCCGTACATGCACTGCGAGGGCTGGATCTTCGATGTGGAGATGCTAATGCTAGCCGAGTTCGCGGGGATCCCCGTCGTGGAAGTCCCCGTGGGGTGGCGCGAGGTTAAGGGCAGCAAACTCAACGTGATCTGGGACAGCATCGGCATGGCTTGGGGGCTGGCGATCCTTCGAGCGTCGTGGGGGTTGGGTGTTTATCGGAGGACATAAACACTTGGCCTGTGCTTGTTTTTGTAACTGTGAATTTATAGATATACAGTACACTGTATCATGGATTCTGCTGGCGTTTGGGCTTGGGACTGTTGCCATTACGCTGCCCAATCTGTAGCATCATCACAAATCATCATTATTGCATCTGTACAGTACAGACAGACAACCGCGGTCGTTTTGCCATGTATAGCGCCAGCGTCCGTCTTCACATGCCGGCGATGACAGCTTGTCAAAGAGGCAGCTCATAGGCCGGGTCTGAGCGTCCAGCTAACTGGCCAGTGCGCTATCTCGTTAGCTGCAGAAGGTCGTTCCCGCCGGCTAATTCATCGCCACCTCACACGTTCTCGACTGGGGAGCTCTGTCCTATATTCACATACCTCGCTGGTCCTTGCAGGCACAGTGAGCTGTCCAAACAGCGCAGATCAGCGTGTCGTCATTGTCTGATTTATCTCTATGGCAATACAGATATTTATTTATTTATTTATAGGAATATCGAGTCAACACCTCCAGGTGTGCGAGATGCGATCATTTAGTCGGTGGGGACTTCTGCATCCTACGACGTAGTAGTCTGCATATGCAATCTGGGGGCCAGGGGCCAGGGGCAGCGCTTTTCTGAATCCTAGCACATGTTTTGTACTAAGTTAATTAACCCCGGATTCTTGTTAGTATGTAAGTAAGTATGTAATCGGTATACAAAAACAAAGCAGTACAATATCGATGTTTTGCAGGATGTAAGTATCTACATCTTTTATCTCTATCGATGAGAGTTAAAAACGCATGAATATGCATAAATCAGCCATCTGCAACGATAGGCCACCCGCTGCATCGGCATCCACTCGGACCGATCGCGTCAGGCCACTGAGCAAGCCGAATCCGAACGGGCATCCCGAGGGTGCCGGCATTGTCCGAGGCTTGGGTCGGTTCGGGCCTTTACACGTATGACTCGATGCTATCGTAAAGTTCAACGGCCCCAAGACTAAATCTGTTGCCTTTTTTTTCTCCGTTACCTGTTTGACACGATGGGCTGGCCCATCACGTCAAAAGAAGATACCTAATTCATTGATACCCTGAGTTATTTATTTGTTCGGATTGACAGCTGTGTCAGGAGATCCCGCGGAGTCATGTTTTAATTGGAATTCCAAGCCCTTTCTGTTTTGCTTTTCTCTTTTGGGGGTTGGGGTTTATTTCAGGCAGGGTTCTTTCTATATATATATATAAGGCAAAAAGGCCAGGAAAAGTCGGATTCATTAATTATTCGTCAATCGGTTAATCCATCGCCACTGCTGCTTTCTCGTCTTCTTGTTTTACCTTGGTGTTCGCTTGTTGTCGCTTCTTGAATAAGCTCCTCTCCTGCCCTCTCTTCTCGCAATCAACATGCTGCAGACGCTGGATTCCCAACCAAGCCTCAAGCCCAGCTACTCCAACAGCAACAGCGGCGACAAACCACCGGGTCTCCTACGGCTCCCTCCCGAACTGCGTCTCAAGATCTACGAATACGTGCTCGATACCCCCAATGACTATCTCGACCGTCCCTTGATCGTGCTCGACGACCGCGGCAGCAGCTTCACTGCGCGCGGTCGATACCGTGCCTTGAGCATGAATCCTACCTGGCAGGGGGGCGGGGATGGTCGGTCGCGCAAGCTGCTGTCCGTCAATCGCCAGATCCACGACGAGGCCGAAGACTTCCTGTACTCGCACTACACCTTCTTCTTCCGCAACTCGTTCAACCTCGAGCGCGCCGGCGACTTCCTCGACACGCTGAGCGCCACGGCGCGCAGCCGCATCCGCAACGTCGGCTTCGAGATCTTCTTCTTCGTGCATAACCAGACGGGCGTGCCCAAGCGGACCCTGAAGCTGTACGGGCAGGTGGGCAAGATGATGCAGGAGCGCCTGCCCCGCTGGAAATCCGTCATCTTCTATCTGGACCCGCGGTTCTATTTCCCCACGCCCCAGGTCGGCGGCAAGGAGCTCGCTGCGCGGGGGGTCTTCTATCTGGCGACCATCTTCGGGGCGCTGGGCAAAGAGGTCACCTTCTATCCGGTGCAGCCCATCCACCGGCACGTCATCGAAGAGGCAGAACGACAAGTGCGACGGGGGAGTCGTTCTCAGGATCGGCCGTCGCTGTAGCGTTGTTCACTCTGTCGAGGTTGGAGACAACCAGTGACATATTGGACTGCCACCTCACCTTTCTTTTCTCGATCCTATTCCGTAACAACAAATGGTTCAATCACATTAGCATGAGCGGGACAACTGGGGCAATGGGATATGGGTCGCAACGAACACTGGCGTTTGGTTTGGTGGTGCATGTCTGTGGATTCAGAGACGGGTTAATTGGGATATTTGGTGCTCTTTTTTATGGTTGGAACTCACTACTCATCAGCAGGCATGGCGCAAAGGATCAATCGGGGGGCATTGATATATTTTTTATATGGCTTTGGATATTAATGACCATAGACATCAATAAATAGCTAGTAGTCTTAATGTTGGAAGAATACTATGGAAGCGTATTGTGAGGTTCCGAGTGTCCGTCTTAGCTCCTGAACTACGTCATGCGTCAAAGGATCCTCTCCAACTGACCGCTTTGTGCACCTCGTGATCGCCTGACTCGCTGTCTCTTTGTTCTATCCTCTCCATTAAATTGTCTCTTTTTCTTCCTGTCATTCTTTCTTCCCAGTCCTTCCCGTCTCCCATCTGACCTGTATCTTCTGCTAGCTGGCTGGCCTATGACGATCCGTTCCTGGAGTTCCCCGCCTGAACCGCTTACTATTGGCAAGCTTCCCCGCGTGGAGAACTCCCCAACTGCGCGTCGAAGCTTTGGGTAATTCATTTAAACGCCTGATCCCTCTCGTTCGCTCGCCCTCTGTCTGCTTTTTCCCCTTCCACTGCTGAGCCTACGCGTGGCAGCTCGTTCTCGAGGTCCAATGCGCCGCCCTGCGGTGATCGCCTGGCATTGAGACCTTCCAACCGACTGTGTTCGATTTCGATCAACCCCTGTCTCCAGCCAGCCTTGGTGAAGCTGTCTTTGTTGCTGCAAGCTGCGTACTGCAGAGCGCGGCACGAGCTCGGGTCGTACGTGGTTCCTGTCCCGTCACCGGCCACAGGATTAGAGCGGGGCGATCGCTGCTAGCACGAAGGATTGAATATTCACCGAGCTAGAGCTCTCCAGTGTACGAGTAAGTGAGCAGATAACCACTGCCATCGGTTGTGGACGCAAGCACTGAACAAACAAAGAAAACCAAAGAAGCTGCCAATCCAGCGCGACTGTATGCCTTCCTTCCTTATCCCGCAGGCAGGAAACAACCATCCTCATTCTTCACACGGTGCAGCAATCATTTCTATCAGAGACCTCCACAATGAAGCGATCCTCTTCTCCTTCCTCGTCAAAATCACCAAGTAAACAAACGCCTTATAAAGAGGTGCGATTTTCGCAGGTCGAGACTCCCGTCCGTCGCGCTCAATCGGTCGCTACCAGCAATCCATTGCGTGATCCCAGCTATAGTGCTGCACATGCAGCCACCAGAACGCCTGAGGGCACGACGTATGCCGAATTCGCCGCATATATCGAACAGTCGCGCGCGCTGTTGGAACGCCAGCGGGCCAATTTCGAACGCGAACGGGCCGCCTTTGCAGAGGAACGCAAACTATGGGACATGGAGAGAGCGCTGTTGAAGTCCAGAATCGCCGAGCTGGAAGCTGCAAGGATGGATGGCTCCGACGGCTTGAATGGCACCTCTTCGAAGACGGCTCAGTTCCGGACGGACTTTTCGTTCCAAGGAAGGCCTCACAGTCATGATCCCTCGCAACAAAATGGCGGGAGCAACAATAGCGGCCAAAACGGCCATCACGTATGGGAAGGGTCCAGCCCAGGTTCGATGCGGCCGACACGCGTGTTCCCTGATGAGAACAGCTTCGGGCACCCGCCTTCGCTAGATGCTGCGCTCTCCCCGCAATCACGAGCCGTCGACCGGTCGACAGAGACCAGCGTGCCGGTCCCTATCGAGAAGGTCGACAGTGAGCTAGACGGCATCACGCTCAAATCGACGGCGCTACCCCCCAATGTAGCAGCCAAAGCCGTCACACCGCAGTCCACATCTGCGCCCAAGTCCGACCAGGAGCCTCAGAGACGCATGTCGGAAGGGAGAACACCGCTGAAGCTGAAGCTCTCCGATCTGGGGGCGCCGGATGAGAACCTTACGCGGGATGCAGGACACACGCCCATGGCTATTCTGGGCACTGAAGCCGAAGCTAGCTATCAGTCCCCGACAGATGACATGGCGGAGGAGGAGAATCCTCTCACACCGACGACGACCAAGCAGCCGCTGCAGCCTGTGGAGAGCTCGGATTCCTACTTTCCGCTCGACCTGCCGGACGACCCGGCCTTGAAGGGGCCCTTGTCGTTGCAGAACGATGCCGAGGCGGACAAGAGCTTTCTTTCCGAGCTGGACCAGAAACTGCTTGACGAGGCGAAGAAGGCTGTCTCAGGACCGTCAGACGAGCAAGATGATAGCGATGATGATGATCAGCACGAGCCGGACCCGGAGCTGAAGCTCAAGGATTCGACCAACTTTGGCACCGCTTTTGGTGTGCCAGAATGCGGCAAAGTCTAGTTTGCTTGCAGTTGACGATTACATGTTTCCTTACATGTCTGAGTATCTAGGGTGAAGGCAGAATTTTTTTTTTGCTTTTTTAGTACTACACATGACTCGTCTCACTGCAGCTGTATGAAATGTCATGTAGAAATCTATCTATCTGAGAATATGATCTTCGGATGAGATCAGGTTCCTGATGCCTCTATGCTAGTGTTTTGTATCATGTATACAATGGAAAAAGGGTGGTTGCTTGTACGATATCCGCGCATGCTGGCTTGTTTCGACTTTGCAGACTGCAGCAGGAGATTTCACTGTTTCAAATTGTTTCTGCATCATCATGGTGAGCCGCGACTGATGACTATCGATTTTAAGGTTGCTCGTTTTGTCCCCTGCGTGATGAGGCTCATCCCTTGCATTAGATCCCGCATCTCCAAACGTCAATCCGCAGCCTGCTGAACGGCGAAGCCGATCGACAGAGCTATTGAAAATGACGGAATCGAAATTGGCGGCTTGTTTCTTCTCCATCTGATACCTCACGCCATCTGGAGTTTCCGCTTCAGTGTCTACCGTCCTGATCCATGAAATGGCGGAGACGATGGCGATCGTCGATCGTCTTCACCTATTCCGCAACAGATACACTCCGCTTGGGTGCATCTTGAAATCATGATCGTCTCTTGTGCGTCTCTGCCTTGCATCCCAACCACAGCTACGGCGGATCATACAGATGATGGATCTTGTTGTCATCCGACAGTCTGCTTGACAGCTGAGATGCCCCTTTTCCTTCAGCGAGAGCAACAACATAAAAGGACCAAGAGTTACTCGTTCAGAGGGGCTTTTCTCATTATCATCATCATCAACCAGACAATTGACTTGACGAGTCTCAGTCACGCTTCAGCCAACTTCTCGTCCTTCTTTTGGATTTACGTTTCTGTCTGACCATAACGTTTTCACTTTCTTGATCTATAATTTTGCATCATCTGTTTATAAACCAAAATGCGGTTCAACGTGGCTCTTGCGCTCCTTCTCGCCAGCGGCCCGCTGACCGTTCTGGCTGCTCCTATGCCCCAGCAGCAGGATGGCAGAAACGGCGTGCTGGCGAATGTCGACAAGGCGGTAAACGACGCGGTGTCGAGGGTACGTTTACATCAGACCATGGCATCTTCTGTTACGACGTGACTGACTCTATTCTGCTTGCAGGCCAACGACGTAGCGGCCGCGAACGGCGGCACGCCCCAACTCACCAACGTTCCTGGAGTCCCTACGGTTCTTGGCGACACGGGGGCAGTTGCTCCGACGGGCAGCGACAAAGGAAAATCCCGTCGTCAATTGCCCCTCGATGCTCTTGGTAGTGTCACAGGCGCCCTGGGCGAACTTGGCGGAGTGAACCCGCTGGGCCAGGGCCAGGGCAGCGCTGGCAGCGCTTCGCACAGCCCGCAGTTCTCTCGCAGACAGGCGGAGGATCCTGAGGACATCGACTCGCCCGAAATCAACGTTCCTGGAGTTCCTGTGGTTGTTGGCGACAAAGGAAAAAACCGCCGTCAATCCCTCGATGCTAGTGGTAGTCTCTCGGGCACCCTGGACGGACTCGGCGGAGTGAACCCGCTGGGCGAGGGCCAGGGCAGCACTGGCAGCGCTTCGCCCAGCCCGCAGCTCTCTCGCAGACAGGCGCAGGGTTCCGGTAGTGACACGGCCCCTTCCACTCCTGAAGGCAACGGCTCGACCTCGTCCAGTCCCCTGGGTGGTTCTCCTCTGGGCGGTTCTCCCTTGGGCGGCTCCTCCCCATTGAGCGGCCTCGGCTTGTAAGCCCTGAAGCCCTACTACTAGATCCATGCTCAGCCAGAACTTCTGTCGCGAAGGCATGACCCAGCCAGGCTATGCTGGATGAACAAACGAACAAACAAGCAACCGGCATCAATCCAACATGACGCATATCACATATTGACTCTTCTTCGACTTTCAACTTTATACTTCTTCTTCATCTTGTCTTTCTCTTGACAGATTTGACGTTACTTTGACTGTGACAGTTTGACTTTGTGTGGATGTACCTTATAGAGAGTCAATCAATTCTATATAAAGCCGTCAATAAAACGGTCTTCCGGGGGAAAACCTTATGCTCCAGTTCTATAGACTATGTTTCATTTGACATAGTCAGGAGGTGATTCCCTCCCATAAAGCAAAAAGGTAAAAAGATTCAGTTCTAGTGCAAGCAAAAAAAAAAGGTTTCAATGAATGAATGATTCTAATACATCCTCATCCATTTACTTCCATCTCTGTCTAGATAGCTATCTATTGTCATTGTCTTTTTGCAATACAATATAGTCTTGTTAAACTAGGAGTAATAGTTCTAGTGTTAGTATTGGTCGGTTGAAGAAAAAGACCATCTTCACTGATATATATTCATCTTTATACACTGTGTGTGTGTGTGTGTGTGTGTTTGTGCTCACATAGAGACCTACAGTAAAATATATATAAGCTTAGTTTCCAGGTTGCGTTACATTTTCTCAAGAGGAAGAGCAATTCAATTCAATTACTTGATTTTTTTGACTTTTTTTTAAAAAAAATTTCACTCTCTATTTCTTTTTCATTCTTTCGTGTCTCTTGTTTTAGTTTCCTTTGAAGCAATCATTAATTGAAAATCACGTACTGTAGTCACTTCACCATCATTGCCATCGTGATCCACTGTCACTGTCACCTTCGATCCTCCCTTGTCTTCTTCCTTTTTCCCGTTTTCTTGCGTAATTATTTTTTTCTTCTTTAAGATTGATTTCCATTCCCCATCCCCCCTTTCTTCTCCTGCTTCTTCTTCTCCTGCTGCTCCTTCTTCGCCTTCCTCTCCTCCTCGCGCGCTTCGACCACACTGGCATCAGGCTTGTGAAAGCCCCGGAAGCGAGTACAGCAGGGGCAGTCGACCGTGCAATGCCCGTAGAGCTCTTTTGTCCCTGTCTTTTTTGCTGCTGTTCCTGTTCCTGTTCCTGCTCCGGCTCCTGTTCCTGTCCCTGGACCCGTCGCTGTCGTTGTCGTTGTTCCACCACCACCACCACCACCTCCTCCTCCTCCCGCTCCTCCTTCCCCGGAGGATGAAGTAGAAGATGATGACGATGATGAAGAGACGGAGAAGACGAAAAACCGCCGCGACGATGATTTCTTATGATGACCACTACTCTGGTAGATATGATACCTGGCCAACGACTTCTCGCAACATCCACAGCCGCGACCACAGCACCCGCCTCGGACGGCGCACAGCTCGCTCTCCTCGCGCGCCTGTCTGCGCAGCAGCAGGCTGCTCATGCGCGTCCAGCGCCAGCCTTTGCGCGCTCGGCAGCGGTTCACTTCCCATTCCCGGATCTGCGCGCCCCGGGGCTTGGCCTTGAGTAGGTCGTGCAGCGCCTGCTGGTGCAGGAAGTATTTCTGGTTCAGGGCGGAGAATTCTTTCGCCCAGGTGGTTGCTGCGCCGACTGCAACAGCAACATCATTATTAGTATTATTATTACCGTCGTCATCGACATCGACATCGGTATCGTCACTTCTGATTATATCGTCGTCTTCATGCAGCTGTGTTTTCTGCAGCTGCAATTGCAGTTTCTGTTGCTGTTGTTGATGATGATGTTGTTGATACCGCTGCTGATGCTGTGTTTGCTTCTGCGCCGCTCGCATCTCCTCCTCGACAAAGATGCGGCGCTGCAGGATCGCGATCCCCGCTTGCTCTTCCTCCTCGTAGTCCCTGATCCAGTTCCGCTGCGATGCGTTCACGGCGCGCTTCGTGAAGGCTTGTTTCCAGACGCGGAGGTGGTGCGAGGCTGGGTAGCAGTGGAGGAGGTCGAAGAGTTCTTCTATCATGTTTGCAGTAGTAATAGTAGTAGTAGGACGGTAAGCTTGTTTCTTCCGAGATAGAGATGGCTTTTCTTCTCTAAGAAAGTAGTGGTGGAAGAGAGGAGAAAGAAGGAAGGAGGGCACTGACTGAGAGAATAAAAAACACGCAAAAGAACAATATCATAATCATAGTCAAGTAATAGCAGTCATATCATATCATATCAATATCATATTATATCAAACTGAGGTAGTCGTGCTGCTGCTGCTGCCTATCCACGGCCATGACGTTAAAACAACTCCATCATTACCGTCATACTACCCAAGTACACTGCCATACTGACTCTTAGACAAGAAGATGGAAAACCTAACCTTGTAGAATATCCATCCATCCATTCATCCATCATTCATAACGAAAGAAAACGAGAAAGAAGGAACAGAATTAGATATATGTAGTATGTGGGTCAGCAAACGATTTCTCTATACGCCCATCGTAAAATCATGCTCTATGCCCGGTGTTACGCTCGCGATGAACTTCAAAAACACAACCAAGTACTGGTCCACTCGGATCGCAGACTCTTGCTCATCGTCTTCCTCCAGGTTGGCCTCGTGCTGCAGCACCTCCCACTCGTCGCCTGCGCCCCCTCCAGGGGCGGTGCTGGCCGTGCCGCGCTTGTCGGAGAGAGACAGTGCCTTGGTATCGTCCACAAGTCCTTCTAGCCCGCTCTCCACCTTCACTTTCGTGGCTTCATCCAGAGATTGCGCTTGCTTGAGCTTCTGGCGGCGCAACTTGAGCGCCGCGTCGGCACGGTCGAGGAGGGTCTTCATGACCGAGGCGTGCTGGCACGGGTGAACGGTCGCCATCGGGACGCTGGTGTCAAACCACGGGAAATCTTCCAACGTGACCGTCTTGTCCTTGTAGTCTCCCACAATATCCTCCATCATCAAATGGGGAGGAAGCGGCTCCCCCGCCTGGTAGCCCGACAGATACAACCGTGGCGTGCGGTAGTAGTTGGCATAAGTGATGTAGAGATTGTATGTTCGCACAGGTCTGTCCATCAGGACTGTCAACAACAATCGACTCAAGAGAGAGAGATAATGGAAGCCTCAACTCACGCTGTGGTGCCCGACTTCCCGGCCGGTTCCCGGATGATTGCCTCCTCGTCATCCTCGTCCTCCATGTCTGGGATCTCGTCCTCCTCTTCTTCCCGCTCGCCAACATTCCCTGCCTCATCGACTGTCCGAACGTCCTTCAACTTGGCTTCTTGGCTGTCGGAAAACTCCCGTCCTCCTCCCGTCCGCAACCACCCGTCGTCGTCGTCGCCACTGCCCCGAAGCATATCCTGGACAATGACATCTTCCTGATCGCCGGCAAAGTTGTCATTCAGCCGGCGGTGGCATGGGACGCCCCGCGTCACCAAGTACTGCTTACCCGGAGGCAGGTAGGGGACTCGCTTCGCTGGGGTCGAGGCATCTTCCCAGGACCAGGACGGGAACTTGTAAACGAGGTAATCGCCGGCCCTGACGAACTCCTCCGGAGTGATCTTGCCTGTGGTACGAAACGTCGACGTGTGAGAGACCGGAGTGATCCAGTCCCGCCAGGTCGACCAAGTCTGATGGATGATGTTCTTTGACATCGCGCGGAGTTGGAGTGGAACTCTGAATGCGGGGTTCTGTGATGCAATACCCAGAGGCAGACAGCAGCGATGAACCTGATGTAGATTTCAAATGCGGATTCTTGAAACGGAGGATGGTTGGTTCGTAGAGAAGAGTCAGAAGAGAGCGGATGAGACGGAAACCTGACTATCTCTGGTCACACCGCATGTGCTTCTGCCTTGGGACTTCACTGGCAGGACGATAGATAATCAGGCGGCGGGGAGGTGAGTATCGCGCGGTACGGTAATTACGGCTATGACCAATGCGGATATCAGGTGCCGCCGCCTCGTGGCGCAGGCACCTGTCAGAGTCACATGATCACATCACCAGATTTCCCATCCCATACACGCTAGTAGAGAAATTATAACACGTTGACTGGCATTCCAGGTTGCAATTTAATATATCTGTGGAAATAAACTATTTACCTCACATGCTTTGCAACTTCCATCACCTATACGGCGTCCAGTTGTATGCACCGTATGTACTGTACAGTACATACGTTCTTCCCGACGAGGAAATTTCCTCTATTTGTTCCACCAGGGTCGTGATCATTGTTTCCCAATTCGGATTTGTAGCGTTGACGGGATGTGCTCTCGTAATTTCCCTTTTCTCTGACGAGAACACTGCCGTGTGCAAGAGACTCGACTGAGGAAATGCCATAGCCTCTCGACTCGGACTCAGCGGCACGGGGTGTAAGGTCTGATCGCATTTGTATCCTGGCCAAACGCCCATTCCAATGACCTGCTTCCTGCGCTGCCCAGGAATAATGGCAGCCAAGAGCCTGCACTTCCTAGTCGTCCCAGATAAGCGACTGCTAGACTCAATTGAACTCGAGTTGATGCAGTCGATCCAGTAGCACGCTCATCTGCGCTGCTCTTAACGTAGTCTTTCACTCTCCTTCCTGCGACGATCTCCGTTTCTGAATTTCTGCTTCCACATCGTCGACGGTCAATGGTATGGGCCTGCCTCCCCATTTTTCCTTCTCCGCCTTCGCAAAGCCAGCCATACTTTTCATGGCGACCACTAAGAAGCCAAGCTCTTCGCGATCCACGTCAAAGACTTCCCACCACTCGCCATCGACCAACTTCACTCCAACCTCACGGGCGGCCAGGTAGATGGCACCCACAGCCAAGGCATTGGGCTGATGGGTTACATAGAGAAGTTGTGGTGACAGCAGGGACGCGTTAAGGTGCTCAAAAACGCGCTTAGCAACCGCCGGAGTTGTCGCATTCATTGTCTGGAGATATGTAAGAGCAATCGTATGGGGGATGGCAACGTGCGTATTGAAGCCCAGGGTGCGGAGAATAACCGACTCCATCCTCAGAAGCACCAGTCGCTCGGAGTGGTAGCCCCCCTCGGATAGGTAGTATGTCTCCGGCGCGGGCTTGTTGGCGACTCCATTCGGATTGACGAACCACAGCGGCGAGGCATCCTTGGAAAGAAGATATGTGTAGACAGTCAGAACCGAGCGGGGGGACGTGGGATGGAACGACAGCTTCGCTGTCAGATATAGAGCCGCTGCGGATACATCCTGTTCGAATAATGGGTCTTGATCAGATTTTCTCCTCTAGCCACTGTTTCAACTACCTTGCGAAATCTTACCTTAGCGGAGTAGATTGCAAGGCTTCCGCCTTCTGGACCAATCCAAAATCGAGTGAAGATCACAATGGCCTGAGCAATCACATCTTGGGGCAATCGCAGAAGCACGCCAGCAGCTTGGGTCAACAGGGCGCCTGCAAAGCGAATAGATGCCTCCAAGTCGGAAGGGATACCGTCCAGGGAGGAAGAGGAACTGGTCAGCTGCGATGGAGTAGCAAGGGCATTAGAGAGGCTCTCTAAGCCCTGAACTGGCGCCATGATGGTATGGATTTCCAGCTGTCGGGGCAAAGACGCGTACTGTTAACACTGCAAGACTGGGTGGTCGCGGTGCCAAGACTGGCAAATCCCGGGCCGTGGGTGTTGTCCTACAATCATACAGATTTATTGCCCCCTTGCATGGGAGACAATTGACAGGAAAAAAATATTTATCAAGTGAGTGACATGACCTCATAGGTCGCACATGGCATATCCAGGTCCATGGTAGCTCCCTGAATGCCGGTTGAGATTCAGCCATTCTATTGGCCATCCACGGATCATATTGCATTACCTTGCAGCATATGTAAGGGTTGTAGTAGAACAATACAACTACACCAGTAGAACGTCTGGTATGATACCAAGATTCTTACTACTATTATACTGCCAGACTGGAGAGTGTGCAAAATATACGGTGTACTTGAGTAATCTCGCAGACCAGCGTCGTGACACCAGCTACCTAATCCACTGCACGCTAGCACTGCTGCCATTGCTGCAGGGACCTGAGTCCTCGAGTCCTACCTTCTTGAACATTACAGAGTACTCCGTATTATTGTTATTATCTCAACTTCTCCTACAAGGTATTGATTCAAGGAAGACTGCAAACTGCACTGTAATCTATAGCACGGGGTGAATCGGAGCATGGCGTTCGCAGGTGGTGGATCGTCAGCCACCGCATTTTTGAGCAGCGCGTCTTCCCCAACCACGCGGTAGATGTAGGCACGGCCATTAAAACCCCAGGGCGAGCTCGAGCCTTTTGGCAGAAATTTTCGGCATTCCTCGAGCTGCTCTTAGTGAGTCCCGGTCTCTCGTTAGCCTTCTGTGCTGAAGAACATGCCCTCGTTCCCCATGTCTCGCACTCGCTCGTGCCTGCAGCAATAACCGTTGACTCTTATCGAGACGGCACGTGCGTCGCTGTTGTGCCGTTCCCGGAATTGGAATCCGCGTTCGAGCCGAAACGACGATCGCTTGGGCTCAGACCATATCCCCCGTCCACCGCCCCTTATCAATATTGTCCTCGACAAATTCTCTTTTATCGGGGCCTTCTCCAGGGATACGGAAGCTTGCCTCAGGCTCATCAAGCTTCCAGAGCTTTCAGAACTTCACTGAGAGCTCGGAGTTCCCATCCTCCTCTCTCCTAGACCCGCATAGCAGGGGCACAGCTTGGCAGCTGTAACTGGGGTTCCACATTCCTGGCCAGGAGCAAGCTGTCATACTCCCTACAGTCGGAGACTGTGAAGTTGCAGGTCTCTTTTCAGGGCGCCGACCAGCTGAGACACCGAGGAAGTGGCAATCTCTCCCACATTCCTCGAAGCTCAACTCCATCTTGCTCAATGCCAGGAGATTTGAGACAAGGTACACCACCTGTCAATCATACCCACTCCCTGAGCAGCTGCAATCCCTTTCCCACCGGCCTGGGAAACCAATCAGTGTATGATTCGGCTTCCTACCAGTCATACCACGATTTCCGGGATGCGATTCTCGCCCCTCCTGCTGCATTGACAACACATAGCACTAAAAGTCTGTCAGAACCAACAGAAAGTGACCACACCCGTCCTTCCAATCACCGACGTGCGAACACCGAGATTATTCCACCGCGTTCCTTGTCCTCATCTGCCCGATCTCTAGCTCGTTCTGAGACGAAAGGAACGTTTGACACTGGTGGAAAGTCCTTGGCAGATTGGTTTCCAGGAAAATCTGAGTCTAGCGCCCTGGGGAGGTCTCCTTCTCCCACCAAAGAACACCCATCGACGATGGATTCCACTCCAGAAACTACCATGAACTCACAACTTCATGAGACTTTGCCAGTCTCGACGCTCTCAAACTATCCTCCCACGAGCCGTTTCCAGAAAAGGATGACCGCCCCGTCGGCCCTGAGACAGGTCGCATCGTCTCGTTTTTCTTGGTTTGGTTCGAAACCGCAAGAGCCGGCCAAACCCGTGCTTCCTGAGCCAGCCGACGATGAGTTCCTGAACTTAGATATCACGGGGGCCTTATTTCCCCCGGGATCCAGCAAGGAGTACAGCCAAGAGGCATTTGAGGCACTTCAGGCTAATGCAGAGAACATCCTCCGGCGCCTGCAAGCAACGTACAAACAACGAACCTTCGCGTTACATGAGGTCATGGCCGAGAAGACGGCGTTGCAGGAAGAGCTGGCAGAAGCCCGAACTCGGGTGCAAAATCTCAAGATGCAGCTCGACGGCATGGCTCAGAAGGCCCTCGAGACGGAGAAAACCACCAAAGCTCTCGCCGAAGAGCTCGAGAAGGAAAGGCAGGCCCGACGCGAGGCTGAAGAGGCTCGCAGGCGCAGCGTGGTTCTGGTGTCGGGTCGGAATAGCGACAGCTTCAGCGATATCATGGAAACGCCCCGGCGGCATGCAAAGCGACACAGCAGCTCGACTTTAACCAGTGACTCGGGCTTTGAGTCTGGTGACGAGAGTTCGGCGGAGAGTATTTTTTCCCGACGGATTGAATATCCTGGATCGCCGCTGTCTACCTTTTCAACGCCGGCTTGCTCTACATCACCTGAAGCCACATTGTCACCCCCCGTCAGCACAACATCTCAGACGACTCCTAAGCCACACCCACCCGCATCGCAACCCCAGCCACGTCTGTCAGCGTACGACCGAGTCATCAAAGGTCTCAGTCCGCTTACCAACGCGCTCGTCGGCAGCAACAACTCGCAGTCCAAATGCTCCAACTGTCATGGAGTGCCTGCGTCCGAGGCCTGGAGCGTACTGGGCGTTCTGGGCGAAGAGAACAAGGGCCTTAAACAACGAATCGGTGACCTGGAGGCGATAATCGATGATTGCCTTAATATCGTTGGCTCATGAACCATAGAGACACACCTTGAAGGTTGATTATTCCCTTCTGTTACATGGATTTCAGGACATAGTTATCCAAGGCACGATACCAAACTATATAAAAAGTCCACACTACGGGATTGAGGGGACAGGCGTTACTTTTCATTTACTACGGAGCTTTCCGTTGATGAGGCATTGAGATACTGAGATGTTGAACATACTCAGATTGCCCTTTCCCGATGGCAAAAGATGGCTGCTGTATATATAGAGACATATTCTGGGATTTGACTGATGATATTTTTTGTGTATTCTTTTGTCTCTTTGCCTTTTTTGGTCGCCGTGGATGGATATTTGCAACAGACTGACTACGATGTGTCTTCTTCAAGTCAATTGCGATTTCACTGTCTACGGGACTAGCCTATATGAGAAATCTCAATCAAATCAAAGATTCTCCGTACAATCCAGGACATAAGGTAGCCATGCAGATGCCATCAGACAGGTACCTGGCGAGACGATCTGGAGCGATCTGATTGGTCAGAACCCAGCCACCGTTGAGCTGTTGCACCGCCACTCCCGACCACCTGGATTTCTCACGGCCAATGGTTGCAGGATCCGTGGCGGTGCAAGGCACGGTACACAGGCACCCGCCAATGACAGGCAGCCAACAGCTCGTCGCCTTTCAGCTTCGCCTCACACAACGGGAAAAGACAAAGGGACAGTCCATCCCAGGCTGTTGTCTCTTTCCTGAGTCGGCTGTGCGATGGTCTCGACTGTCTCTGTTTCATCTCCTGTAATAGGAACGAATCGTGGACCGATTGTGGCTTGTCGTGCCCTGGAAAGTGGAACCCCAAACTACGTGCTGCGTACTGTAGGAAACACATTTACATACATGTCGCATCTCTCTTCTAACGGTATTGGAAGTCGCTTTGCAGGGCTGAATAGAATTTTGCCTGGCCCTGATTTTGGCTGACATATGGCAGTCCTTTTTGAGGTCGTCTATTATATTCTGAAAATCTCGCCGGCTATTGTCGACTGCTTTCTGGATTCTGTCATAGCCAACGACCAAAAATAGAGTCAGACTCACCAATTGTATATATATCCGCTGAGTTTCCCTCCTTTGTGCTTTTTGCAAACAATTCTCTCTTCTGGGACGAAGCCACTCTCTGAGGACTCCTGTTATGCCATTTATTGCCAATACTCCCGAGTCGATTCTTCCCCGATCTGATTCTCTAAATCCAGCGACGACATGTCGAGGGATCACGGTCAACGGCCGCCCCTGTCGTCGCCCACTGACATCGCCTGCCCCGTCTTCTAAGGGGAATATGGCTGGTGGTTCGGATCCAGCAGCTTTTTATTGCTGGCAGCACAAGGACCAGGCGGAACAGTTTGTTGGCAACACACAAAAGAAAGGACGAGCGGATAATCAACCGATAAAAGAGAGGACTAGTATCGATACCTTGGTCGAACGCTTGGGCGTGTTGGACGTGAATGATGAAAAGGGGAGAACAAAGCCTCGTCAGGATGGTGCTAAGAGACATGGTCCAAATGGCACGAACGGGAAATCGCAACCACATGGTCGCTCCAGTCAGGCAGGCCGTGCAGGAAAGACCATATTCTGTTGCTTCCGAATTGCAGATGCCGATGACCTCCCTGCTTCGAAACCAGTCGCACGCCCGGTTGATGACCAGCATAAAAGAGGATCAACTGCACCGTCTGCGTCGCAGCAAAGGCCGGTTATTATCCGCAAACCTCATTCACCACAGCGCGCTCAGATTATCCAGCAACGGCCGGTTCCAACTACACCTCCAAAGCAAGGGCACTCTGCTACCCCTACACGACCCTTTCAACCCGCTACCCCGGCCTCGTCCACGTCCCAGACTCAGCCACTTTTGTCGTGGATTCCGCCCCATCTGTCTCCTCAGACGACAGCAAACTTGCTCACTGAATTAGCCAAACCTATCTCTGAGGCCGATGAAGAGGGTTACATTTATATCTTTTGGATTACCCCGTCGACTTCGAACTCCACCGCACCTCCACCATCCGATATTGCCTCTAATCTCCTTCCCTCTCCGAATAGACCTGGTCATCATCGTCGGACGAGCGACGCGCTCCGCGCTGTACAAAGTCATTATGCAGACAATCGGGGTTCTGGGTCCAGTCCAGGCACGATTCGCTTGAAGATCGGCCGCACGAGCAATGTCTACCGTCGCATGAATGAATGGACAAGGCAATGCTCATATAATTTGACGCTTATCCGCTATTACCCATACTCTCCTTCGTCTTCCTCACCTTCGCCCTCACCAGCACGAAGGCCCGAGAGTCACAGCTCCCAAGAACCCGGAAGACGGGTTCCCCATGTCCATCGAGTGGAGAGGCTGATCCATATTGAGCTGGCAGACCACAGAGTCAAGGGCCAGGGACCGTGTCCGGAGTGTGGAAAAGAACATCGGGAATGGTTCGAATTCGAGGCGACCAAGGACGCGCTACGGCTTGTGGATGAGTGTGTGAGGAGATGGGTTTCTTGGGCAGAAACACATTGATGATCTCACACTGCATTAGCATCTCGTATCATTGGTTTGGTGTTGGAATTTGGGCTACGTGGGTACTGGGTACCAATGCGTCTCGGACATTGGAATTGATGTTTGGCGTTGACTTGATGGTATTGGTATAAATATTTTTATGAATGCATTCTAGGATAGACTTTCGACATGAGCTGGATGAATCAGGATTATTCGACACGTGTGTTACACACTTCTTCCCTTGCCACATAACACACCTCCGTTTGTTTTACGTCGTAGATCAATCAAATAAATTCTTAAATAAAAATAAATTAAGCTCGTTATAGCACCTGGTTGATGTTGGTGCTCTTTACGTCATCCCGCCGGAGCGACAACAAAGAGGAAATCCAAGCCACATCATCCGTCCCTGTCAGTGGCTCATGAGACTGAACTAACTGTTGTTTTCTACTATTTTAATTATTTTCGGTTATCAGTCTACTGCCTGCAAACCGGAACCGTGACCACTGTCGTGGTGGCTTGAAGATCCACGTCCAAGGGAAAGGGGTTCTATCGAAGCTTGGGTGCATGTGTCCCTTGGATTCCCCACAGCAACCAAATCCGAGCGGAGCTGATTGAGACGATACATAGATGTACTGTTCCTACCTTGTTTCCTGTCCCTCTTCCTGATTTGCTCTTAGAACCAAATGCCAATTGGTCTCTTCTGAATACAGAACTCCTCACGTCGGTGATAATTCTTTTTTTTTCCAAGAAGAGACGCCCAAGGGCCCTCGACGCCATGGTTGTCGTCGCGACGCAAGAGGATCCCATCTCCACCGTCAAATGGACCATCCTCAACGGTTTTTCCTCTGTTACAGATAAAGCCATTGCGGTCCTGAATCACATCTTGCCTCCGGAGCGCCGCGAAACCCTCCAGCAGCGTTCAGTTCTCTTCGCGACTTCTCATCCGTTGCTGGCAACCCTGCTCCTGTCGCAGGTGGCTTTCTCTGGAATCCCGCTGCTCCTGTTCGTCTTGCTCACGGTGGGGGTGTTTGTTTTCAGCTTCGTTGCGGCTCTCGTGGTGGCTGTGCTGAGTGCGCTGCTGTTTACCGTTTTCTGCGTCGGGTTTGCATTGCTGCTGCTTCTGCCGACGCTCTTCGTTACGACATCTACCGGCGTGGGCGTCTGGCTTTGGGGCTGGAGCGCATATCATCTCGTCAAGTGGTTCCGCGGCTCTGATACGGAGCAGCTGCCCAAGCTGAGTTCGGGGTTGGCCTCGAGGGTCCTTGGCGGTTCGGGAGGAGACAATGTGAGCAACGAGAAGGACGAGAAGTATCCCCCATCATACGAGCAGGAAGACGCCAAATCTCAACCACAGGAAACCAAAAAGGATGTCGACTCGCAGACGACCACAAAACCTGTTAATTATGTGGAAGGCATATCGGACAACCCCAGTGTCGCTGCCGGATAGAGATCGCCTTTTTGAAATTCCATTGACTGGCCTTACCTTACATATTTTCGGGGTGATAATGTTTGCATAGCATGGACAATTGATTCTACCGACTTGTTAGACTTTCATTCAACCTCCACATCAATTGTTTCTATGATATATATCGCTTTAATTGATTGTATATTTTCTTTTTTTCGTGTTATGGCTCTTCTTCTAGGTCCAGCTCATGTACAGTGCAATTTGATAATAGTTTGTAAAATACCCTCTTTATGTTCCCGATTAACTATACTGACGATTGTCAACTGTTATTGTCGTTTCAAACCATCTTAGTGATTGGAAGACGGATTTGTTTACATTGCAACTGGATAAGTTTAATCTCTACTGAGGTATTTAAACCATAACCTTGAGAAAAAAAAATCACTGGATCTGTCTGGTTCCCCTATATATAGAACCACCATAAATGGCGTAATTTCTCCATTATATTTTGTTGGTGTTTGCCATGATGCTCCGTAACCCCCTTCAGCTGTTGCGGGATCGGACCAGAGTGTCCTGAACGAGTTAGCGCCCACCCCGGCCGAACAGGCCAGCAAGCACACTTCCAGCCAACTCTCCTGTTCGACCACTTTTCCTCCCCGGACGGCCACCTCACCTCCTTCTTTCTTCCCCTCTTTCCTTCCACTTCTTTCCTTCTGGTTTTGCCTGTATCGCTCCTTCAGCTGGTTCTTGAGCTCCGGCTTTTCCTTTTCTTTCTTCTCCCATCGCATTGAGCCGGGGATCATCATGAGTGGATGTGAGTTCTGGAGTCCTGCCGCACGCGATCAGAATCGCGTATCGCAATGCGGTTCCATTCAATTGAATTGTTTCCTTATGTTTGCTGACATACTATAGTACGTTTTCTCGATTTAATCAAGCCCTTCACGCCCCTCCTGCCGGAGGTGGCCTCTCCGGAGACCAAGGTGCCGTTCAACCAGAAGCTCATGTGGACGGGGGTATGTGTCATCTCATCCTTCAGGTGGTAACAGAGAGACAATTGGAGACTGACTGTGTTTGGTGGATAGTTGACCTTGTTGATCTTCCTGGTCATGAGCCAAATGCCACTGTATGGCATTGTCTCGTCTGACACCTCCGATCCGCTGTACTGGCTGCGTATGATGCTGGCCAGTAACCGGGGTACGCTGATGGAATTGGGTATCACCCCCATTATCTCCTCCGGCATGGTGTTCCAGGTATGTCTGTATTCTTCGGCAAACTGGAGCCCGGTGATTTCGCTGACATAGCCAGCTCCTTGCGGGAACCCACCTCATCGATGTCAACCTCGACCTCAAGACCGACCGCGAGCTGTACCAGACCGCTCAGAAGCTGTTCGCCATTATCCTGTCCTTTGGCCAGGCTTGCGTTTACGTCCTTACCGGTCTCTATGGTCAGCCCAGCGACCTCGGTGCTGGTATCTGTGTTCTCCTGATCGTGCAGCTGGTGGTTGCCGGCTTGGTTGTCATTCTCCTGGATGAGCTGCTGCAGAAAGGATATGGTCTTGGAAGCGGAATTTCGCTCTTCATCGCCACCAACATCTGCGAGTCCATCGTCTGGAAGGCCTTTTCTCCCACGACTATCAACACCGGCCGTGGCCCCGAGTTCGAGGGCGCCATCATCGCTCTCTTCCACCTCCTGCTGACTTGGCCCGACAAGCAGCGTGCTCTGCGGGAGGCCTTCTACCGCCAGAACCTCCCCAACATCATGAACCTTCTGGCTACTCTTCTGGTCTTCGCGACTGTTATCTACCTGCAGGGCTTCCGTGTCGAGATCCCCGTCAAGTCTGCCCGCCAGCGTGGTGTGCGTGGCTCGTACCCTGTTCGCCTCTTCTACACCTCGAACATGCCCATCATGCTTCAGTCCGCCCTGTGCTCCAACATCTTCCTGATCAGCCAGATGCTGTACTCGCGCTTCTCGGACAACCTGCTCGTCCGTCTTCTGGGTGTGTGGGAGCCTCGTGAGGGATCTGCTCAGCTGCACGCCGCGTCCGGTATTGCCTACTACATGTCCCCTCCTCTGAACTTCAAGGAGGCTCTTCTGGACCCGGTTCACACGGCTGTGTATGTGACCTTCATGCTTGTCGCTTGCGCTCTCTTCTCCAAGACCTGGATCGAGGTCTCCGGCTCCGCCCCGCGTGACGTTGCCAAGCAGCTCAAGGACCAGGGTCTCGTGATGGCTGGACACCGTGAGCAGAGCATGTACAGGGAGCTCAAGCGCGTGATTCCCACTGCGGCTGCCTTTGGTGGTGCTTGCATTGGTGCTCTGTCTGTTGCCTCGGATCTCCTTGGCGCCTTGGGTAGTGGAACGGGTATTCTCCTTGCCGTGACGTAAGTTTCTACACCATTTATTTGATCGAAGAAGGGTGGCTTGCTGACGACCTTTCACAGCATCATCTACGGATACTTTGAAATAGCCGCCCGAGAAGGAGACTTTGGTTCTGGCCTGAAAGGCCTTGTTCCTGGCAACTAAGCGGGAACCACATTTCCCTCCCCTTATTTATTTTATGAGGTTCACGGGGTCGGATCAGGATTTTTCTCTATTTCCTTTTTCTTCCTTCGATATAGCAGATTGGTGCGTCGCTGCGGTTGTGGCTTGATGGAATGGCTCGGATTTAATATTGTGGTCTAAAACGGATGAAAAGTGTTAGACATTTTGTTTTGTCTTTTGTATAAGTGACTGAAAGAGCGAGAACCTGTTGAAATAAGAATAAGAGTCAAGCCGCAACTGTACATAAGCGCCAATCTGTTTGTGTATCATTAACAATATGAGAGAGAAGAAATAAGAATAGCTAATCTATATAGTTTGTGTCAACGGAGAGGATGAAGATCTAGATCAGGACTTGTATATATGTTCTTTATATTCTATTTTAAACAGAGAATATATATACCCTATGGGTTGGTTATATATGTTACATGCACGGGAATTCGTTTTTTTTCTCCTTTCGTTCTCAAACTTTTGCTTTTATCGTTGTCTTTGTACTTTACTTTTCTTATCTGCAAACAAATTTACGTCCGGTAGTCACCATTGATCGTGACGTATTCATGGCTAAAGTCGCAGAACCAGTAGACGGCCTCCTCTCCGCCGCGGCCGCTCTCGCCCTTCTCGCCGCCGCCGAGGTCGACGACAATCTCGAGGTCCTCGCTCTGCAGGATGGCGCTGGCGCGCGTCTCGTCCACGGCCTCCGGTTCACCGTTCACGAGCAGTTTCAGAATCGGCGAGCCGTCTACGGGCCGGAAGCTCACGCTCGTCCGCTCGGGGACGACCGTGCCCGGCGTCACGCCCTCCGTGTAGCCGACCGCGCACAGGATCCGTCCCCAGTTCGCGTCGCGGCCGTACAGGGCGGTCTTAACGAGCGGGGAGCGCGCGATGGTCGAGGCGATGCGGCGCGCCGACTCGTAGCAGGGCGAGTTCTGCACGCGCACGGTGACGAATTTCGTCGCGCCTTCGCCGTCGCGGACGACCAGCTGCGAGAGCGACTGCGCGAACGAGGTCAGGATCTCCTGCATGGCGGCGTAGTCGGCCGATGAGGACGACGCAATGGGTGTGCCGCCCGCGGCGCCGTTGGCCAGGAAGGCGATCGTGTCGTTGGTGCTGGTGTCTCCGTCGACGGAGATCGAGTTGAACGAGCGCGACACGGCATGGGTGAGGAGCGGCTTCATCGCTGACGGGTCGATGGGCGCATCCGTGCAGAGGACCCCCAGCAGCGTGGCCATGTTCGGGTGGATCATCCCCGCGCCTTTGGTCATTCCGGCGAGGCTGTAGGTCCGTCCGGGGACGGACGGGAGAGTGAAGGTCCGAGAGAGCAGCTTGGGGAAGGTGTCTGTGGTGCAGATGGCGCGGGCGGCGGTGAGCCAGGCGTTGTGCGAGGAGGCGAGCTGGGAGTGCGCCGTTGGGATCATGCCGATAATCTTGTTGATAGGAAGTCTACACCAATAAGAACAATTCATTTAGCAATTGAAGACAAAAATCCTCTGAATGGCAAAAAAAATCCACCTACCGCTGCCCAATGACGCCGGTGCTCATGACCAGAGTGCTGGGTTCATCCAGTCCATCGCAGTCGTCCACCTTGGCTCCCATGCTCCAGGCATCCTCGAGACCTCCTTTGCCAGTGACGGCATTGGCGCAGCCCGAGTTGATCACGACCGACCGGATCCCCTGGCCTTGTCTCTTGTCCAGAATCGCCCTGCTCACCTGCACCGGAGCCGCCTGGAATTTGTTCGTGGTGAACACAGCCGCCGCAGAGCATGGAATCTCAGACGAAATCAGCGCCAGGTCGGGGAACTTGGTATTGGACGCCTTGACGCCGACATGGGTGCCGGAAACGCGGAATCCCTTGGGATAGGTGCCGGACGAGGGCACGTACTTCCTCTTGGACTCCGGGATTGTGCTGTCGTGCAGCACCGAGTAGAAGCGGATTTGGCGCCTCGCAATCCGCGCGCAGGACGCCAGGATGGCAGGGGAGTGAGATTTTGGAACAATGATCATTTTGAAGACAAGTCTAGAAAATAAAAGAAAAAGGAAAAGGCCGAAAACAGAGAGTGTGTGTCTTAGGACAAGCTCCGCTCGTTAGTCTGATAAGATAAAAGATCGCAGCACAGAGATTGTTGCTCTAACAAACACAGGAAACGAGAAAATCTTAATATGAAGGAAGACTGTCTCTGGCAATTAATTAAAGCACAGTCAATGGCCAGGAATAGACCGATAAGCAGGTCAGGCAGGCTGTATGAGCGATAACCTCTGTGCTGACTCACAATTGCAATTGCACCCGACCCTGGTGTTGGTCGCGGGAAATTAATTATCTCAGGGATCGCTGACCAGCGTAGGCCAGCCCTGAGCGATTTATCGTCCACTCAGCGGTTGGCGTTGTTGTCAATCCAAAGATTGTGCCTCGGCGTGGTTTTCTTATTTTTCGGAGCTGATAGATGGTTGATATCGCGGAGTCGGAAAAACCAAAAGCTGGCTTCCAACTTTCCTTGTTGGTCGACGCGACGCTCCTTGCAGCTCGCGTGCTTGAGGTCGAAAGGGCGCCCACAGGCCCCAGAACTGCTCGTTTTGACTGGCGGATGGTGGTCGATGCCTGCAGCATTGCCATTCCTCCTTCTTGCTCTAATTCGACCCTAGTTTTGGGTCGTGATTGCTTACATAGCATGGTACGCGACTTGGGGTGATCATTGCTCACTGTTCATGATTTTCTCACACTGAGATGAAGCGCAAAGCACGAGATTCCATCGACAGCGATGAGGACTGGCCTGCAGCCTCTACCCCGAAGAGGCAGAAAACTGCCAACGACCACGACGCTGCGAATGGCTCTTCCACTGTGACGCCGTCGAAGCGGCCGCGTGCTACGCCAAAGAAAGCGACTCCTGCCAATGGCCTGAAGCCGTCAGGCCTCCGGACGCCTACACAGAAATCAAAGGCCAAATCGTTATTCTCGACGCCGAGGAGAAGCGACAAGGATGGTGCCACGACAGCCACACCTTCGCGGGCGAAGAACGCGGATCGGTCAGCCAAGAGGAAGAGCGCGCGGGTCCTGTTTGAGCAGCAGGACGAGGATGAGATATGGGATGGCGCAGACCGGCTGGCGGAGGAGATTCTGGATGATGAGGACGAGAGTTATCACGAAAGTACCAATGAACCAGACGACGGAAACGTCGTTGAGTCTGTGGAAAAGGACGGAGATACTGCTGCACCCGCGACGAAGCCAGCGGAGACACCCAAGCGTCGCGCAGGACGCCCCAAAGGAGCGAAGAATAAGCGGTCGCCGACACCAGAGGGAGAGCTGCCGCCGCACGAGCGATATTTCTTCCAGAACCGTCCCGGTCCGCCGCGGACATCCAACAATACCCTGTCCAAGGTGTCTTTGTTGACGCACGAGGAATATTTCGAGTGCCTCTCGCGGTACGAGGACCCTTTAAAAGAGGAAAAGGAGATTTTGCTGCAACTACATCACCGGTCGTTTCCACAGTGGAACTTTGAGTTCCGGGAGCAGTTCAATATCTGTCTGTATGGATACGGCTCCAAGCGCCGGCTGGTGCAGCAGTTTGCGGATTGGCTGTATCGAAGATCGCCCCCCTCGTCCTCTCCGATCATTGTCATGGTGAATGGTTACACACCTGGCATCTCTGTTCGGTCCATCTTCGCTACGATCGTGAGTGCTGTTCTAGGGGACGACACGCCGTCGAAGCTGGGCGCCCAGCCCAGTGAAGTGCTCGAATTCCTGCAGTCGGCACTGCAGTCTCGATCAGACCAGCGGCCCGTAACGGTGCTCATCAACTCGATCGACGCGCCTCCGTTACGGCGGGCAGCCAGCCAGGCTCTTCTGGCGCGGCTGGCCGCGATTCCATCGATCAACATGCTGGCGACGGCGGACACGCCGAACTTTACACTCATGTGGGACGTCAGTCTGCGGGACCAGTTCAATTTCGTATTCCACGACTGCACGACGTTTGCACCGTACGATGCGGAATGGAACGTGGTTGACGAGGTGCACAACTTGTTGGGCCGCAAGGGCCGGCGCGTCGGCGGCAAGGAGGGCGTGGCCTTCGTGCTGAAGAGTCTGCCGGAGAACGCGCGCAACCTGTACCGGTTGCTGCTGACGGAGCTGCTCACGATCGCTGGTGAGTCAGGACAGGGGGCGTCCGACGACGAAGACAATGAAGCTTCGCGTCGCGAGGGCGGTGGTAGCGGCGGCAGCGGTGACGATCTCTGCATCGAGTTCCGCACGCTCTACCAAAAGGCGTCGGAGGAATTTATTGCCTCGTCGGAGATGATGTTCCGCACTCTGCTCAAGGAGTTCCACGACCACCAGATGATCACGTCGCGGATCGACGGGACGGGGACGGAGACGCTGGGGGTTCCTCTGTCGAGGGAGGAGATGGAGGCTGTATTGGAAGATTTGGTGCTGAATTAGCTGATACGAGAACTCGCAGTGATACCCATGGGATCTTATTATATCTATTCTGTACAATAATAAGACAAACGTCGATATATTGATGAGTGCCGTTCACTCCGGCCAACGAACAATCGTCCATCCATCCAGCTATGGTAGCTGCCAACTGAGCACGACAATATCGCCAACTAAATACCAATAACCAATCAACCCGTAAACCTATAAATCCGAGAAATTTATCAATTCATATGAATCCCTGCTTTTGTTTCTCTTCTCCCCTTCCTTCCCCTTTCCCACAAATTTGTTGGATGGGATCTGCTCAACACTTCAAAACTGCGCAAACGCCGCCATGGCCATAGTCGTACCGAAACTCGTCTTGAAGGCGATATTCTCCGTCAGGACGCGCTGGAGGTCGACGCTCTTGACGTATTTTTGCAGACGGTGGACGGGGAAGAGATAGTATCCTTTGGATGCAGCCCACTGGCACAACAAAGCGAATAAAATATTAGCTTACGTTTTCGAAAAAAAAGATCCCAGGAGTCATCATTATTATTTCATACCTCAACAATAACAACACCCACACCAAAGCAAAACACTAATGCCTTGGACAACACCCGCAGTCCCAGTCCGACTGCTAATCCGAGGACACTCCCCAGACTGATCTGGCGCATCATCGATGCGGTGAGGATGCCTCCTGCTCCTCTTTTGTCACTTTCTTTTTCTGCTGTTGCTGTTGTTGTCCGGCCTTGCTTCACGGCGATGGGGTCACGATCAACCGGCATCGCCCAGCCGGTTTCCGGGAAGGCTTTGGGACTGTACACGGGCGCGACGTATTGGCATTGGAGGCGTGGTAGACAGAGTGGTGAGGAGGGGTGGAGGAGGGAGAGACCGACTCCGAGGGGTACGGCGGCGCAGGTGTAGAGGAGGGGGCGGGAGAGGAGTGTTGCCATTTTTTTTTCGTCCTGTGTGCTTTTGTCTGTCTGTATATCGATAATTGATGTGGGTGTCTGTTTCCTCTGTCGTAGGTACTGTTCTGTTTAGATCTGTATGACAGTACTATTGGAACGGTGTTCGTTTGTATATTATTCTGTATGTACTTGGTCAGCAATGGATGGATAAATTGCCGCTCAATTGGTCATAGATCGGAAGCAGAGTATAGAGGCGAATAAAGAAAGTATCCTCTTGACAGGCGACAGACATGCAATGCCGCACAGGACGTTCGTTGTGCTGTACAACTGTACAGAGCATACTTCCGAGTCCGGGAGGTTCCAAGGAGGAGGTGTGACGTCAGGGATTGGTATTGGTAGCTTCTGCCTCAGGCATCAACAATCCTCAACAATCCTCGTTCCTGCTCTGCTTATACACCAACCGTACTAAGTCCTGACAGGCATTATTATTTAGTCATTTGGATGCTGACGAGACAGCAGAGTCAGGTGATATTGTATGCACGTGCAATGCAGCTCCTGCATCTTGTCACGTTATTTGCATAGACAGCGATTGCCAAGCAGTAAAATTAATGCCTTTTCTCCCTTAGGAATTAAAAACACGATTTAAAAATAAATGCAATTCACGTTCCTCATCGCTAGGTACAGTACACATACTCCGTAGATAGTCAGCTCGGCTACCGGCGGAGCAGTAAGGTAGGATGCCAGTGTGAAGATAGAAGCTAACGGTTCTCTACGTTATTGGTTGCTATTCGTGCCAAGGACGTCGATGACTGTCTGACGCAGGTACAGCAACTAGCTAGTCATCGATAGGCAGATAAAGATAATAGGTAGAGCTTGCAGAGCAGATGCAGGCTGGTCAAGAGACTGGACCGATATAAACTATTTTTTTTAGAGCCTGCAGATACCGTGCGAGTGAATTAAAAAAAAAGAAAAAAGAGAGAAGTCACAAAGGTCGATATTGCATGCCGGTTATCGGAGTCGGATGCCAATTAAGTTGGCCTGACGCCTGACGTCTCCGCTTTGCCTCGGGGACTCTTTTTTTCACTCGTCGCCGCGGGGGAGGGGAAACTAAGATAGAATTAGAGAGGGCCCGGCAGTCGAATTAAGCGCTCAAGCAGTCACAGCCCATCGTGACTCACGGAGTGCGGACTCTCTGTCTTCTTCTTCTTGGGTGGATTTCTTTTCCTTCCGTCTGCTTCTTTCTCTCGTTATCTTCATTCGCCTTCGCTCATCATGGCATCCGCACAGCAGAGCGGCTCCAACGCCAATGGCACCACTCGCGCCAACCGGTCCTCTGACTTCACCGTCAAGGCCGGTCTGGCCCAGATGCTGAAGGGCGGTGTGATTATGGACGTCGTCAACGCGGAGCAGGTATGCTTGAAAAACCAGACAGTAATTAACAATTCTGCTGATTCTGACATTTTTTCAGGCCCGAATCGCAGAAGAAGCCGGTGCCGCCGCCGTCATGGCCCTCGAACGTGTCCCCGCCGATATCAGAGCCCATGGAGGCGTTGCTCGCATGTCCGACCCGGCTATGATCAAAGAGATCATGAATGCCGTCACCATTCCCGTCATGGCCAAGGCGCGTATCGGCCACTTTGTGGAATGCCAGGTGAGATCGTGCCAGTCTCTTTTTATTAGGTTATCCGCTAATCTTCATTGACTTGCTGGCTATCAGATCCTCGAAGCCATCGGAGTCGACTACATCGACGAATCCGAAGTCCTCACCCCGGCTGACGACCGCTACCACGTCAAGAAGTCGGACTTCAAGGTCCCGTTCGTCTGCGGCTGCCGCAACCTGGGCGAAGCCCTGCGCCGCATCGCCGAAGGCGCCGCCATGATCCGGACAAAAGGCGAGGCCGGCACGGGCGACGTCGTCGAGGCCGTCAAGCACATGCGCACCGTCAACGAGGAGATCGCGCGCGCGCGGGGCATCCTGCTCTCGTCGCCGGACCCGGAGACCGAGCTGCGCGCGTACGCCCGCGAGCTGGGCTGCTCGTACGAGCTGCTGCGCGAAACGGCCGAGAAAGGCCGCCTGCCCGTCGTCAACTTCGCTGCGGGTGGTGTTGCCACGCCCGCCGACGCCGCGCTCATGATGCAGTTGGGCTGCGACGGCGTCTTCGTCGGCTCCGGCATCTTCAAGTCCGGAGATGCCCGCAAGCGCGCCAAGGCCATCGTCCAGGCTGTCACGCACTACAAGGACCCGGCCGTCCTGGCGCAGGTCAGCGAGGGGCTGGGCGAGGCCATGGTTGGCATTAATGTGTCGCAGATGGGTGATGGCGATAAGTTGGCGAAGCGGGGGTGGTAAATCAAGCAAAAATAACATAAAAAGCAGAGAAGAAGAGGAAGAAGAAAAGAAAAAGAAGCCGGAAGACAGACACACATAGATACATACGTACTGTACACCTGAGTCCATTCCTATGTCTATGTCTACGTCTGCGTTACGTCTACGTCTACCGTTCTTATGAATATTTTTCATTCCGTTTCATTTCATTCCATTTTCATCTCATTTTTAATGTAAGAAAAAAACTTTTTTTCATAGATAGTTCCATTGGAAAGGAAAGGAAAGGAAAGAAAGGAAAGGAAGACGGTCTGCCCATCTGCCTATCTGCCTGTCTATCTGGCTATATCTGGCGATCTATCTGCTTTGGCATCGAGTTTCTTTTAGAGAAGCAACCAACATACGATACGTATACACATCTATACTTAACATGTAGATAAGAATATCATTATTTTCATTTTTTTTTTTTAAAATTTACTTCTCTGGATATCAATCATTATGTATTTAATACCACACTACATCACACCACAATATTACACACAGAGAAAGTGTGTGACGAGAGAGATCTATGCTATGCTATGCTATGCTTCAATTCCCGGGATTTTTATTCCCCCAGGGCGTAGTGATGCAACGTCACTTGAAACAGGGCGGGCGGAGATACATACAAGACATAGATCGATCGATTGATTGATTGGAAAAAAAAGAACAAAGGGTAGTCAGTCAGTGCCAGACCAGTGGAAAAAAAAAGGTGGAGTAAAAGTGAGCAAAGTGTGATGGTTGTTTGATGTGAGGGAGACGGCTTTGCTGTCCTGTCCATTGACGAGCCACCCTTGACAACCAATATCACCTCCCATCGACTGCGTCCAGTACTACTACTTCGCTCACTGTCTACCCCGCATAGTCAAACCCTGCGCCACGGCACTTCACCCAAAACTGTCTCACGATCTGGTTCGTGGCCGCGGAGCCTCGTGCCGCTAGCACCATGGACAGGAATCGGTCATGTTCTTTTGACACCGCTTCGGGCTGCTGTTGCTGCTGGTTCCCGTCTTTGGTCCTCAGCGCTTCCAGTGCCGCCGCCAGATGCGGTTGCGCCGCCCCCTGGTACTTGAAGACGATTTTCTTCAGCACTTCGGTGAGATGGTTCAGATCGGAACGCGCGCAACCCCCGCCAAGCTGTGTAATGACGACATGGCAGAGCCGCGGGAGATAGTCGCGAATTACTCGTTGAATCGGCCCAGTGTTCACCGGAAGGCTGAGGGTGCCAACCCAGAACTGCGACGCCGAGCGGAGAGGAAGAGGCTCGGGCCCTCGAAGAGCGGTTAGGGTAAAGTCGAGGATGGTGGACAGGACCGGCGGCTCCGGACCTGTCGGGGTGTCCTGCACCGTCTTGGGCGGCGGAGGATTGGTCAAAGAGAAAAGAATGGGATAGTACTTTCCGAGCAGACGCGTAAGGAAGCCAATACCACTGTTGGCAATCTCCGGATCGCGCTGCTCAGGGTTCTCCAGCATGAAGCGGAACGCGTAGTAAACGTGGATGATGAGCAGCCCGGCTTCCTCGCGGATCTCGTTAGGGCGAGCCTTGTGCGAAGCTAAGAACGCTGACGCCGTGCTCATCACCACGTCCGCTGCACCGTTAATCCCAAGAGGAATGTTGGCCAAAAAGGTTGCAGTCGTGCGAGGGTGAAAGACGTACAAACCCATTTTCTCAGTGAAGCCTGCCTTCAGGACCTCACACACCCCCTCGACAATGGTCACATCGAGAGGGAAGTCGCTGAGAAACATCTCAAGACACTGGATGATCCCCTGCTGACAGGGATGAGAGGTCCAGAAGGTGTTGTCGGCGACGTGAGAATCCTTGTCGCTTTCGAGGTCCACGACGCCGTCCACGTCGGCTCGCAAGCCTCGACCGATGCTGGCGATACAGCTGAGAGCCAGGTGCCCGCGGTTGCGAGCAGCCTCGACGTCGCCTTTTTGTGCTTCTTCCCGCGCAGCCATTGCATGTGCGTGGAAAGGGCTCAACAGGTCGTTCAGATAGGGCACCTTCGCCTCGTCAGAATCGAGAGCTTGGATAACCGCCGCGATGCCTTCCACGACTCGCTCTAGATTCTGAACGGTTGCCGCGGGTAGCTGATGGAACTCTCTAAACAAATTAAGGAACACGGGCAACTCAGATGTGAGCGCGGTGCGGCACGACTTGCAGAGTGATGAAATGGATCGTGCAGCGGCAGCCGTGCACGAGGCGACATTCAGGGATGCGAACAAAAAGGTCAGCACGCGCGGGAGCAGCGCTCGAGTGCGTTCAAAAAAGATCTCATACTTTCCCAGCATATCGACAAGGGTCTGGCGAGCTTTAAGTGTGATCTGAGTCTCCTGGCTAACACACAACGCGGCAAACTTGTCAGAGAAGAAAATCTCGTTCAAGCACTGCGCAGCCTGCTCATTTCCGTCTACCGCTTCTGACAGTTGGGCAAGGCAGAAGACGGAAGCCTCGAAATTCTTCCAGTTCTCAGTTTCCAAAGCTGACTGTGTGCGCTGTTGGAATAGCTGCACCAGTTCGACGCCCAGGGTCGGATAGGCAGCCAGTAGGAAATCGCGGGCATCGCGCCTGAACGAATGATACTCGCTCTTATCATCATGGTCCCACTGGTCCAGCTGCTCTCGTGACGGATACAACAACCTACCAAAGCAGTTGAGAACAGCTTTGGCCAGATTTTGTCGAGCATGTTCCAATTTGGAGCTCTCATACTCCTCCGGGCTCAGCTCTTGGAGCTCGTCAGCTGCCTCAGTCCACCATTCCAACAGATGCGGTGCGACTTTATCCTCGGCTCCCGGATAGCCAGGACCATGGAATAGAGTATCCATGTAGGCGAGGAGCTTCTCGTGGGTGGGAGTCAGTGCGCCAAGGAGAAGCTCTACCCGCCGAGTAGAGGAGTACGTGAGAACAAGCTCCAGGAAAGACATATGCTCGTCTTCGTAATCACCATCCAAGAGAGCAGTAACATGTGCAGATCCTGCCTCACTAACGATGTATTCCAATATTACGTTCAAATGCCAGTCAGTCAGAGTCTTGTCACCAGATCCCAACAGTTCCGTCAGGATCTCAGTTGCTGGTTTAGACAGACCGGGGATGCCAAGGCACTGCACCAAGTTCTCCATTTGCGAGGACAATTCAGATGCCTCGATCGGCTCACGCATCCGGATATTTGCTCGCACATTGAGCCAAGCCTACAATCATGTTAGAACACAGGTTAAGAGGCAAGCATGACGCGGAAGAGGATTACATACACGATAGGACTCCAGTGCCTCGATACCAATACTCACGTCATTAACAGGATTCCCCAAAACAAACTGCCGGAGGAAGTGTCTCAGGACAAAATCACACAAACAAAAGGCATCTCTGATGTTATCCGCAACCGGGTGCTCACCACTGCTGCCAGTCAGTTCGGAAATGAAGCAAAAAATCGAGGTCCATGGATGACTGACCTCCTACGGACCTGGGAGCTCCGCTTGACCGCTTCCTCGGCCATGGTGGTCGAAAAAAGAAGCAGGGCAGCAATCTGAATCTCGTTGAGAGCCGGGAGTGCTGCACCCTCAAAATCGGTGGGCAAATACTGTTCCTTTGGAACTTGATTACGATTGCTCAGAGACTCGGCCAGGTCACAGATGGCCCGGTTCCATGTGGTATTAGGCCTGAGGAAAACAGCTACCAAGCTTGACGCCAGCTTTCTGAGAACCAACGGCTTTTCTCCCCAGTTGACCAGGGCGACAAAGCGCTGCATCAAATAGGTCAGGAGATCCTGGACGTCTTTCTCAGAAAGCTCGTTCCTGCCGAATTGTTAGATTCTGGCATTGCTCTTCTTTCACGGACAGGGACCAAACCAATCCTGGTTAATTTTGACCGTAAAGGTCAAGGCTCCGAAGAACCTCATGTCGGTATCGTCGGCGCCCAACAAGCCGTCCGCAATCTGCCATCCTTGAGGACTTTTCTGGATGACCTGCAGACGATCCTGGACGGCCTTGAGCTCAGCTGGAGTGCGACCACGTGGGTGGTAAAGCTCGGAAACAAGCTGAGAGCCAGTCAGATATACAGTTTCTTAAAAGTTCAGATGTTCTGGGACAGAATCATTACTGACATTCTTTGTCTCTTCAAGGAGAGCATTTATATCAACGGCAGGGTCTGGAGCACCAGCAGGCATGACCTCATCCATCCTGCTTCTGGACAGAGGGGCTTGGATATAGATCTAAACGGAGGGCCGGGTGGGAGAGAGGATGCAGTCACGTGCAAGGACGCTAACGGGAACAGGAAAGGCGCCAACGGAGATGAAAGAAGGATGATTTTGGAGAGATGAAGTTGACAAGGATAGATGACTCCTGCTGGAGAAGATCAGCACTTCACTGTGGGGAGTGAAAAATTTTCACATCAGTCTCGGCGTTGAAAGGGGAGGGAAACAGTGAAGAAGCGTCGTAGCAACCATATAGCCATGCTCGAGAGGGTGGTTGCTGTGCGTGTGGCAGCATGAGGCCGTTGATTTCTGCACACCCTCCAGCACTACTGAATAGCACTGTTTGCAGGGGTTTATGCAGGTGATTATTGGGTCTAGATGTAGGAGAATATTGCAATATGTCTTCTGCTGCGTCTTCTTTGTTAGAAGAGCAATATTGGTTATTTTATTTTGGCTTGGTTCATTGAGTATTTTTTGCATCAACAGTAAGTAGTAAGCGGGCTTAACAACGGCAGCCCATCATCGTGGCGGCAGCGCTTCCGCTTAGCAGCCCCAGGCGTTCTCACGCCCAACAAGCCTAAAATTTCAGCCTCACCAACTATAACTAGAGGGAGGAATACTTCCTGCCTGCTGTTAGTTCTAGGAACAGACATGCTAGGCTGAATGCTTTGATCTTATATTAAATACTGTAATTATACGAAAAAAAAAAGAAAGAAAAGAAAAATAAAATTAAAAAAAAAAGAAAACAAAAGAAAGAGGGCCTAATATACTGCTTTATTTGCAGGGTAATATACTAGCTTATCAAATCCGCGAGGCCCTAACGGCGCCGCCAATTGCAACCAACGCCGCGACTGACGTACAGCTGGGAGGAATACTCCGTAATTAGTTTGTTCCTCCAGCACAGCAGCACGAGACCACCCCACCATTCCCCTCCTCCATCCATTTCCTGCGCGCTTTCCCCTCTTTCTGCGCTCTGCTTTCCTCCTCCTCCATTTTTGTCTCTTTTTCGGGTCCATGCTCTTCTGTCGGTGCCCGCTCCGTCTTGCGTATCGTACGTCCTTGCGATCATTCCACCCTCTTAGTCACTCGTCGACCAGAGCGTTTTCGTATACCTTCTCCCGTCGTTCGTCCGAGATGAACACCGTGGACACGACCGAGCGCCTGACAAGGCTCAGGCAGCTGATGCGCGAGCATCAAGTCGATGTTTACAGTAGGTGGTGCATGCGCGTTCCAGTACCGTGTTCGCGTTGAATGTTCGTCGCTCATGCTTGATTATTGTCCTCCGCCTCTAGTCGTACCCTCGGAAGATAGTCACCAATCCGAATATATTGCTCCGTGCGACGCACGTCGAGGTGAGCTGCTGGCCCTGGAGATCTCGACCAGCTGTCTGCACTGGCCGTAGCTAACCCATACCTTCTCTCCCTTCGCAGCCTTCATCTCTGGCTTCACCGGCTCCGCAGGAACCGCCGTGGTGTCGGCCACCAAGGCCGCCCTCTCGACCGACGGGCGATATTTCAACCAGGCCTCCAAGCAGCTCGATAGCAATTGGACCCTCTTGAAGCGAGGATTGGAGAACGTCCCCACCTGGCAAGAATGGTAACCTACGACTCCCACAAGAAATGGACCGTCACAATGCAAAGAGAGCCATATTGATGGCGTGTCTATACTTAGGACTGCGGAGCAGGCAGAGGGTGGAAAGGTGGTCGGTGTTGACCCGACTGTCATCACCGCCGGTAAGGTCGAGAGCTATTGTTTGCTCGCGGGCGTAACGACGGCTGACGGTTACGCCTCCAGCTAGCGCCAAAAAGCTCTCGGAAACGCTTGCGAAAAGCGGCGCAAAGCTGGTGAGCATTGAGCAGAACCTCGTCGACCTCGTCTGGGGCCAGGAGCGCCCACCTCGACCCAACGAGAAAGTCACGGTCCATCCCACCAAGTTTGCTGGCAAAACCTTCCAGGAGAAGATTTCTGATCTCCGCAAGGAGCTTCAGGCTAAGAAACGGGCTGGATTCATTGTCTGTAAGTTTTTTTTTTCGGCCATAATCTTCGCTTGATTGTGTTGGAAAGGACCCCGCGCTGACTGCGTCCTACAGCCATGCTCGACGAGATTGCATGGCTCTTCAACCTCAGAGGAAGCGAGTACGTGAGATTATGCCAGAAATATTAAGGTATACAGTCTGACTGGTGTTGATGAAGCATTCCCTACAATCCAGTGTTCTTTTCATACGCAGTCATCACCCCCGACAAGGTGGATCTCTACATTGACGAAGACAAGTTAACCCCCGAGGTCAAGGCGCACCTGGGTGATGATGTGGTCATTAAGCCCTATGATTCCATATTCGCGGATGCAAAGGCGCTGGGTGAAGCCGCCGCCTCTGGAGAGACGCCCGCAAAGTACCTGATCTCTAACAAGGCATCCTGGGCGTTGAGTCTCAGCCTGGGTGGTGAGAACAGGGTAGAAGAAGCGCGGAGCCCTATCGCAGATGCGAAGGCCATCAAAAACGAAGTCGAACTTGAAGGCATGCGGGCGTGTCATATTCGCGATGGCTCCGCTCTGTCCGAGTACCTTGCATGGCTGGAGAACGAACTGATCAACAAGAAATCGACGCTGGACGAAGTGGACGCGGCCGAGAAGCTCGAGCAGATCCGCTCCAAGCGCGAGAACTTCGTGGGTCTCTCTTTCGACACCATCTCCTCGACGGGGCCGAATGCGGCTGTCATCCATTACAAACCGGAGAAGGGCAGCTGCTCGATCATCGATCCCAACGCCATTTACCTGTGTGACTCGGGCGCACAGTACCTCGACGGTACGACCGACACGACCCGCACATGGCACTTTGGCCAACCGAGTGAAATGGAGAAGAAGGCCTTCACCTTGGTCCTCAAGGGAGTCATCGCTCTGGACACGGCGGTCTTCCCAAAGGGTACGAGCGGCTTCGCCCTTGACGCCTTTGCTCGGCAGTTCTTGTGGCGAAACGGTCTGGATTATCTTCACGGCACTGGTCATGGTGTCGGCTCACACCTGGTGAGTCACCCTGCGGATTGGTCTTCTGTTTCTTCTTTCTTATCGTCTTGACAGAACGTCCACGAAGGACCCATTGGGGTGGGCACGCGTGTCCAGTATTCCGAGGTTCCCCTGGCGGTTGGAAATGTCATCTCTGATGGTAAGTCATGTGCCGCAGTTCAGAAGTCCTTTCTGAGAGGAGTGTCACTGATCCATCTCTTGTAGAACCGGGGTACTATGAGGACGGGAAGTTTGGTATCCGGATTGAGAGTAAGAGACCTTATCTGACCCTTACCACCAGGGCTTCAATCTGACTTGTGTAGACATTATTATGGTTCGCGAAGTCGAGACACCGCATAAGTTCGGTGATAAGGCATGGCTGGGCTTTGAGCATGTCACGATGGTCCCATTGTGCCGCAATTTGATCGAACGGTCGCTTCTGACGGCGGCGGAGATCGAATGGGTGAATAATTACCACGCAGAGGTGTGGGAGAAGACCCATGGCTTCTTCGCCAACGACGAATTGACCCGCAATTGGCTGAGAAAAGAGACCCAACCGCTTTGAGGTAGATCTTCTCACGAATTCGCTCCTGTAGAATAAGAGAACAAAGCTATATGGTCACTGGGGGTTAGGACCCATGGGTTTGGCTTTGGCGAGTCCGGGTATATATCATTATATATGATACATATCTTACAGATAGAGGATTATTTTTCCCGTCTAATAGATACTGTACTCCTTTATGCCTCGAACCCAATTCCTAGATTTTGCTGCAGAAACGGGCGTTGAGGAACGATGCCAGCCAGCCAGGGATTACCTGGTACGGTAAAGGCGCTCCCGCAAGCTCGTGTGGAGCCGTCCCGCATGTGGCAGCATGGCCTTCGTTATCGCCCCTGGAAATAATCATATAGTCTGGTCAGACCCTCAAATAATCGACCCCAGTCCAAGTCAGCACCGAGATCTGGGGCTTGGACGCGACGGAAGACCTTCCACATCAGCACTGGAAACTGCCCCGCGGGAACATGGTCAGCGAGTTGACAATCGGACCTCCGATCGCTCCGCCGCATCAAACCGCGTCTGTGTCCGCCTGCCGCTACACTCGAATCCGCCGTTCCCATCCTCTGCAGAACAAACCACTGCCTCCTCTGTTGGCGACTTGATCTACCTCTGCCATTCTGTGATTCCTAGACCCGGAGTCTGGCATGAGCGGCCGCAGCCCCTATACAAACGGATACGGGTATCCCTCCGACTCGGGACGCTCCGACGGAGGAGGAGCATATGGCGGTGGAGGTAGCCTGGGCGTGAACGGGTATGGAGGAAGCGGAGGACGAGAGCGAGAGCGTCGCCCAGGTGGTTACGGAGGATTCTACAGTGAAGAGTCGCAACAGCGCCCGACAACGGCGTCGTCGACTGCGTCCCGCGAGCGCGGGCGGGACAGACCCAACTGGGAACGACCGCCTCAGTCCTCTGCATCGCGGTCGCGTCCCAGGGACGTCGACACAGGCACCAGATGGCGGCCAGACAGGGATGAGCTCGACTATACGAAGCCGAGAGGTCGCTCAGATACAAATGGGTCGCGCGGGCCGCAGTCCATTGAAGGTATGGTGTTGCCGTGCCAGTACAGAGATTATGGCTCAATGGCTGTTTTTCGGTATTTTGCTGACTCTGCGATTTTACAGATGTCCTCCAGACGATTCAGCGTAGATGGGATTTCATGGCAGCGGACGACTGCACACCAGTCCAGGTGGCGTTGCAGTTGATGGACAACAGTACATTGGGGAAAGCAGACCGCGAGCCAGAGTTCCTGGAAACGCATAAGCTGATACAGAAGACCCTGAAGTCGATCGTCAACGGTAGGTTGGGTCTTGTGTCCGAATCGGGAAACAAACTTGCAAGCTGATGGGTCGTATTCTGTCTCATTAGAACACCACCAGGGATTTAACAGCTCCATTGGTACTTATCACAAGATCCAAAACGGTATCCACAACTCACAAAACAAAGTTCGGGCGTTGAGGAACTCTCTGGAGGAGGCAAAGGCTGGTCTGATCACTACAAAACCCGAGTTGCAGGGCTTGGCAATGTCCTCTCAGGAATACGACGATGTCCTGCAGCTGTTTAACCACATCCAGGAGATCCAGTCACTTCCGGAAAAGCTAGAAGCCCGGATATCGGAAAAGCGCTTCCTCGCCGCGGTCGACATCCTCCATGAGGGGCTCCGGTTGATGCGCCGGTCCGAATTTGAGAACATTGGAGCTCTCGTGGATCTGCGCGCCTATTTCAGCAACCAAGAGACATCACTTACTGACATCCTGATTGAAGAGCTGCATGACCACTTGTACCTGAAATCTCCGTATTGTCAAGATCGATGGAAATCCCCTGCCGCCGAAAAGGAGGGTGGGGGAGCAGGCGGCAGCTGGAGCACCTCGACCTGGGACAGACCTGTCTACAGCTTCCTGGCGAAGCTAGATATGTCGTCTCCCATGGTGGAAGACGCCTCTCGGAACCCCGAAGCTGACACATTCTACTATATCCGAGTGATCATCGAAGCCCTAAATAAGATGGGCCGCCTCGATGTCGCCGTCGACCGGATAGAGCAAAGGTTACCAGTCGAGCTGTATTCCGTGGTTGACAAGACCAGTGCAGAGGTCGATGCTCGTCATCCAAACTTGGCGCGAGGCCTCTTGTCTCAGGACAGTAAAACTGGCCTACCGACAGAGATCAACGAGCAGCGCGGCCATGTGCTGACTGAGTTTCTTCACATTCTCTACGCCAAGTTTGAGGCCATTGCAGAAGGCCACCGTGTCGTTCACGATGTCATCACAGGCATTGTCGAGCGTGAGGGGATGCGCAGAGGCACTTTGGCGGATGGTTTTAAAGAGTTGTGGAAGCTCTACCAGAGCGAGGTACGTTTATTGATTTTCCTTTGGCTCAAAGCATGTATTAATTGCCAAACGGGAACCCAGATTCGCTCCCTTCTGCATGATTATTTGGCCACCGACGGTGATGACTCTTATCGATCAGCTCCTCGCGAAGCGAACGCCAGACGCAATTATTCCTTGAATCAGAGGGATAAGTCCAGTGTAAGGATGGCAGTCTCCTTCAACGCGGATCAGGAGCACTGATATCGTCGCAGAAAATGTTTAAGCTGTCCGAAATCGACAAGAAGTCGACTGAGATGAGGGCGGAACGAGAGGATTTGGAGGAGATATTGAGATCTTCTGTGCCTGGACTGGTGACCAAGTCGTCGCAGAAGACAACGACTGGTGATAAGTCGCAGTCGAGACAGGGGAATTCCGGCACTGGCCACAAGCTCCTGATCGAACCGAGCGTGTTCAATATTGGTCTCCTTCTCCCGCCGTCGCTGTCATTCATTCAGCGGCTCAAGGACCTTGTGCCTGTTGACTCCGAGATCGCGATCGGTACCTTGACCTCCTTTTTGGATGATTTCTTGGTCAACGTCTTCCAGCCGCAGCTGGATGAGGCAATTACAGATCTCTGCACGTTGACTTTCATTGCTCCGGACGCCTTTGCGGAGGACCCGAATTGGGCCACCGTGTCTCCCAAGCCCATCTTCAAGGTCAGCAGCCTTTACTGCGTAATCTTATTCTCTGGCTGCTCTCTAACCTGGTTCGCCTTTAGGGAACTGTTAATTTCATGTCCTTGGTGAAAGCCTTCAGCAAGATGTTGGACAGCATCCCGCACGATCAAATGTTCACTCAAATGGTCCTCAGTCAGATCGTGACATACTACGACAAGTGCTGCGGATGGTACAAAGGTGAGTGAGCATCATGGAGATTCGTACACTGCACTTCAATTAAGCTGATCATCCTCAGCACTTGTAACGCGAGTGGCATCACAACCTTCTGGAGGCCTTCGATTCAAGGCAGCAGCAGCGTTTGCTGAATCTGGGGAAATCCACGACACGGCTGCAGAGCTGTGGACTGGGAGTGGCGCGAAAAAGAAGGAGCTTATCGACAGAGTGAGTATCCTGAGATTCTATTGTAGAGGAGACAGTCTTGCTGACAGTAGCAATAGGAAACCGAGCTTCTCATCAAAAAGACCAACGAAACGCCACTGGAACCCTACGATATCATCTCCGATCCCAAGACTGTTGTGGCGTTGTCGTTACTGTACAACAGCATGGTGAGTAGCGACGAACTAGAAGTCCGAGAAAAGACAATCTAACACACTCTTTCAAAAGCACTGGCTCGCGAGCCATCTCGCAAAACTGAGATATATCACAACGTCAACTGTTGATTCTTCACGGTCCGAGTCGGGGCGGACGACCCAGACTCGTCGATGGACTCTGATCTCTGCTATGAAACCACAACGCGACAGCATCAGCCAGCCGGTCTATCTGCCAATGAACCAGGAGACAGTCGTCATTTTTGACAACACCCTTCAATCTCTGCGAAATCTGGCTACCACCGCTCTCCTAACATTGCACATTGACGTTAGGTGCGGAGTTATTCATGTGCTGACAAAGGCGATGGCGGGTCCGAATGGCCCTCAAAAGGTAGAAGAAACTCCCACGACTCCGAGTCCCAGTGCCAACAACCAGAACTGGCATCTCATCCTTCCTACGCAACCTACCTCGGCGTCTCCGCCCATCCTCGAGCTGAACAATGACTTGATTTCCTTTGATACGAACATCTCCTCGTACCTTGGGACAAACGAGCGTCGGTTTATTACGTCAGGCCTGGCAAGATTCATCGACCAAGTTTTCGTCTCGTGTACTCGTTACATTGGTGCGATGAACAATAATGGTGCCCTTCGGCTGCAGCTGGATGTGCTTGTCCTTCAGCAGAATCTGAAGAACATCATCATCGACTCAAGCCCGGAGCCGAAGAAGGACAAAGAGAAAACCGAGGGCGAGCAATTTCACGAGGTGGTTGCCCTTCCTCGCAGTGCCAAGTTCCTCGACTGGTTCCTGGAGGGTCCGCAGAAGGCCCTGGACTATGCCAAGGAGGAGAAGGAAGCATTTGCAACGCAGGGTGAGAAGGCCCTTGCGGCAGGGAATGGGGAGCCGTTCACCTATGACGAATTGAAAGTGCTGATCGATCTCTGTTTCTCGGAGATCATGCGGGGTCCTAAGGGAGAGCAGAACCGCGAGGACTACATGGCGGCCAAGCGGAGCAATGCCGAGGCGATGTTGAGACTGAACGAGGTGATGTGGGATTCCAAGTAGAGTCGTTTTCTCTTGTTTTGTCTCCCTGCTGTTTGTTTTTGTCCGTCCAGGCACATGATGGCTGGTGTCATGGGTCTTTTTACGAGGAAAAATCTTCTCAGTGTATGTCGCATGGCTTGGCTCACTTCTGGGATGAGTCCTCATCTAGTATATGCGCATGTCTTTTACTTTATATCAACTAGTATTATTGACTACAGATAGATAGCACTTGGCGTGGGAACGTGTATGTGTATGTGTATGTTTACGCGCATCAAGGGACTTTGTTCCTGGAAAAGCAGTTAGTTTTTGTGTGTTAATAATAGTGGAAAATAATATCAAAATGCATTATGCGCCTTCCTTTTATTCGGATCTCTCGGCCGTCTGTCAAGGCCGATCCGCTTCGTTGGCTTCCGGCGCTAAATGACGTTGACAGGAGGCCGCTCGCGTGGTCAAGACGCTTTTCTGGGTTAGGGCGTTTCAGGGATATTAATGAAGGGGACGCAATGGGGTTGGGGTTATTTCCCCCCAGCTCAACACTGGACTTTACGGTAAGTTCGAATTTCAGTCCAATGCCTAAGTAAGGTCCTGAGAGTATACTCTGTACTACATGCCAACTACTGTTCATATGGATGTGCACATGTATTTACCAACCGGGAACTGCCTGATGGTGCTAAGCTAAGCTCGTGTCTGAGATTTGTAGCAGATTTACTCTGTTTTGCAGTGAAAACTCCGTAAAGTACCCAGTCCATGGATATGAAAGCTCATTCCAGTCAGGTCACTGGTGGAGTGCCTCGACTTGAACGCCATCAATTTGCCAGATCACGACGATATATCTACGACCCCCTCTACTATTCTCACTTTACTCTTTTAGGAATGGGAGTGAAATGAATTAATTATGTCGTCTAGAGTAGTCTCCGTGTCTCACCGGCCCACTGTTGGTGAGAACTAGCTTCAATGCTATCTGTCTGTCTATATGGGATCTAGAGCTCTTAAGATCCATGGCTCTCTTTCGATGCTTTTATTCTTTCTTTTCTCCTCGTCTTCATTTTTTTTTCTCTCCTCGTTTCCTCCTTTCTCTCCCTATACAGGTGCCCATCCGCTCGCTGTCTGAGACAGCGTCCTCCTTTCGTTCATTTCTTCCCATTTGTCGCCGTTCCTTACACAGATCTTTGAAAAAGAAAAAGATTATCATTCATCCATTCTTTTATTATCACTGCCTTGTTCATTATACTCGACATCTTTGACCTCAATTTTTCCGCAAATCGCGTAGAGAGAAAGGAACCATGAAGTTCTACCAAGCTGCAGCTGTTGCAATTGCTGCCCTCAGTGCAGCAACCACGGCCAGTCCTAACCAGCCCTTTCGTCGTGATGGCCAGTGTCCCATTGGATATGCCTTGAAAACGTACTATGTCACTGTTTCTGCGACTCCATCGCCATCGTCATCACCAGCGTCGTCTTCTTCGCCTGAACCTACAACCACTATCAGGACCACTTCGACGACGACGACTCAGGTCACCCTTGAAACATCAAGTACCAGTCAGACCTCTGCTGGAGCGAGCGCTGTTTCGACAACTGCTGCTGCCCCTGTGTCATCTGAAACGCCTACTGTCGCCGCCAGCATCCAGCAGAAGCAGCCAGAACCCAGCACAACAACAGCAACAACGGCTGTGACAACAGCAGCTCCAGTTGCGACGACTTCAAAAGTTCCTGTTGAAGTGGTTTCTACGTCAGAAGTGGCTTCTTCTTCATCGTCTTCTATCAGTGCTGCCCCTGCACAGTCAACTTCTGCCGCGTTCTCTTTGACATCCTCTTTAACATCCTCTCTAGTGGCCCTGGGCTCTACCAACTCTGGTCAGGCTACGTTCTACGGAGGCGACGTTGCCGCTGGGACATGCTCGTTCACTTCGTACACGCTTCCTGCAGGCATCTTTGGGACTGCGCTGTCCGACTCGAACTGGGATGATGCCGCCAACTGCGGTGCGTGCGTGTCTGTCACTGGTCCTAGCGGTAACTCGATCAAGGCGATGGTGCGTCCATTAAAAGAAACTGGAGATGAAGATGAATTTTGGAGCTAATTGCATGCAACAGATCGTCGACGAATGCCCCGGATGTGGAGAGAACCACCTGGACCTGTTCGAGAACGCCTTCGCCGAGCTGGCAGCCACATCCGTGGGCGTCATCAACGTGGACTGGACGATCGTCGAATGCGGCATCGACAGCCCGATCATCCTCCAGAACAAGGACGGCACCTCGCAGTACTGGTTCGCCATGCAAGTCGTCAATTCCAACGTGCCGGTCAAGTCGCTCGAGGTCAGCACGGACGGCGGCAACACCTGGCAGTCAACCACGCGGGCGTACTACAACTACTTTGAGAACAGCAGCGGGTTTGGAACGGACACGGTCGATGTCCGTGTCACCAGCATTACGGGGAAGAGTATCGTGGTCAACAATGTCAGCTGCAGCTCCGGGTCGTCGACGACCGCTAGCTCGAACTTTTGATTTGATGTCCGACAGATAGGCTGTTGTGGGAACAAAGGTCGGAGACCTTTCTTTACTTTTTGTTTTTTCCTTTCGTTTCTCCGTTGAGAAATTCCTTCCCATTCTATTCTCTATTCTCGAGCTCCATGAGCTTGGCTTCTTGTCACGTGTGACGAGAGAAGAGAAAAAAAATCACCTTTTGATCTGTTCTCTTCTTCTATCACATCCCCACCCTGGTGGGCGGGTCCTTTTTTTTTTTGGAAAGAATAATCATTTTTGAATGGATTCTCTTCCTTCCTTCCTTTATCTGTAAATATTGGATAGACAATCAATACAATTACGCACTTTTCCTATTTATTTATTTTTTTTCTTGGCAGAAAATTCCCAACATATTTTATGGCAAGGCTCTTAGACTCATTTCTTAGCAGCCCTCATTTATCACTAGTATATATAATGTATTAGAACCTCCCATGGAGGTCATTCCACGTCAAGTCACAGTACAGCTGTTACCGGGAGTAATAGTCCTTCAGCAAGAAGCGGAGGAGGCTCTGATTTTGTTGCCTGTCGGATCTTTCCTGTGAGGCGAAAAGATTGTTCATTTTAAGGTCCTAAGAGGGATTGCTTTTTATTTATCATCATCTTGGCTGGGATAGATTGTTTCTTCTTCTTCTTCTTCTTCTTATTGTTGTTGTTGATGTTGATATAACTTGCTCAAAAACTGGACTGACTTGAAACTCATTGGGAGAGGTTGCAATTGTAATTATATACGTGCTATTTATCTGCATATCCATATTCAATACATGTATAGAGAGTATATACGGAGTAGTTATGTCGGCTATGACGTACTTACTGTACATGTATTTATCTATCGACTTCGAGCAAAGCCACGAGATTTCATCAAATCAATGAATTCAAGAAATCAATTCTTATTTTTTTTAGTCAAAAAAAAAGCCTCTTATAGTCAGAAGTTATTTATTACTTAGTCTTTAGAATTAGAATTCATTTGTCTTGTTCTAATACCAGGTACCTAGGCACCTAGTACTACTGGTAAATCGGCGTTTCCAAATAAGGCAACATCGGGCCCGAGGATAACCTGTTCAGGCTCCTTCGGGCCCGAACCATCAAACCATTTCCCGATTGGGTATCACAGACAGGTCATTGCATAGTATGGGATAGGATAGGATGGGCCGAAAGTAAATCAAAAAAAAAGTGTTAGCCGGGATTTTCCCCCATATTCTTATAAGAGGTGAAGAGGATCTGTCGTTTGTACTGTGTGGTACGTTAATAGTATCTATCTCCTCGCTCGTTTCATGTCAATTATTTGTTGGATTGAGGAAGTTCAACAAGAAAAAAGCTTCATCCTTTTATTTGTCTACGGCGTTTAATTCACCTTTCTTTTTTCCTTACTTGCTAGCGACTGATTGCGCCGCTTTCATTGTCGTTGAGACCTAGACCTATTAGTTCAGCAACACACCCCTCTCTACTAAACTCCTAACGGAGTATATACAAATGGAGGCAAAAGAGGAAGGCCCAGTGTTACTGGCGAGATCGAGCTGGCTGTCGCGGCTGAACCCCCTCAAACGGCGTCGAAAGCCTCCTGTCCCCTCCGAGCGAGCTGTTTCGCCCGAGTTTCGAGCCGGTTTCTTCAGCCTTCTGACTTTTGAATGGATGAGTCCGCTTATGTCGGTGAGTCTGTCACATACAATGCATGCACAGTACATACATGTATTTAAGCACTTAATGCTGATACGTCCGCAGGTTGGATACCAGCGGCCCCCTGAAATGAACGACATCTGGCGCGTCAATCCAAACCGCACCGCCCCCCTTATCGCTGCGCGTCTCCAGGAAGCCTTCGACAGGCGGGTCGAACGTAAATCAAAAAGCCCCCTGGCAGGAGCTATTTTGGACACTTTCAAGACCGATATTTTACATCGGAGGCATCTGCTCCTTGATCGCCTCGCTCGTTCAGATCCTGATGCCCTATCTTCTGAAATACCTGATCACTTTCGCAACTGATGCCTGGCTTGCAGATAAGACCGGAGCAAAAGGCCCGGCAATCGGCGTGGGAATTGGATGGGCGCTGGGAATCACGGGAATGCAAATCCTGGGAAGCATCGGAAATAACCATTTCATGTACCGAGGGATGCTGGTCGGTGGCCAAGTTCGCTCGGCTTTGATATCACTCATCTTCAACAAGGCCATGACAATATCAGGACGCGCAAAAGCAGGGGGCAGACCACCACAGGAACCCCCAGCTGATATCAAACCGGGCAGTGATGAGGAGAAGAAATGGTATGCAGACCAGATGGATAAACAGTATGGAGGAAAGGGATGGAGCAACGGTCGAATCATCAGTCTCATGTCAACAGACACCAATCGCATCGACAAAGCAGCCGGCTGGTTCCACATTGTGTGGACGTCTTCCGTGGCGCTGGTCGTCACCATAGCGCTCCTCTTGGTCAACCTGACCTACAGCGCCTTGCCGGGGATTGGACTCTTCCTGCTCTCTGTTCCGATAATGGGAATGGCCGTTCGCGCCATGTTTGCAAAGCGAGCAACGATCAACCTCCTGACAGACAAAAGAGTCAGCTTGACGCAGGAGGTTCTTCATGCCATACGATTTGTCAAGTACTATGCCTGGGAAATGGATTTCCTGGACCGGATCGCCAAGATTCGCCATCAAGAGATCCTAACTATCCAGATTCTGCTTGCCATACGAAACGCAGTCAATGCCGTCGGCATGTCCGTTCCGGTGTTCGCGTCAATGCTGGCATTCATCACCTTCTCTCTCTCTCGTCACCCTTTGGACCCGGCGCCGATTTTCTCATCACTGACCCTTTTCAATCAGCTTCGCATGCCCCTGATGCTCTTTCCAATGGTTATCGGCTTGGTCACTGATGCTCTCGCGGCTGTAAACAGAATTGAAGAGTTCCTCCTAGCGGAGGACCAGAAGAATGACATAGAGCAAGTCGGTGATGCAGCAAATGCCGTGGAGCTATATAAGGCGGAATTCACCTGGGAAAGGGTTGCGGCAGAGTCAGACGACGACTCAGCTCCGGAAGATTCAGACGAACAGCCAAAGAAGAAGAAAAATGCAAACAAGGAAGCTAAAGAGGCGAAGAAGAAGAAGAAGACCGAAAAGTCTGGGGGAAAGACCCTAAAGAAAGAGGAAGAAAAAACTAACCCTAACCCAGACGCGGAGGTTTCGCGTATCGAGCTAGGGCCGTTTAAAATCACAAATTTCAGCCTCCAGATCGGTCGGAATGAATTCATAGCAGTCGTAGGAGGGGTCGGCTCTGGGAAGAGCTCTCTGCTAGCCGCTCTCGCGGGAGACATGCGCAAGACAAGTGGCACCGCCATCGTCGGCGGTTCCAAGGCATACTGCCCGCAGAACGCTTGGATTCAGAACGCCACGGTACAGGAGAACATAACCTTTGGGAAAGAGCTCGACGAGACGAGATTCAACCAAGTGATCGAAGCCTGCTCCCTTCGTCAGGATCTGGATATCCTCGCCCATGGCCGCTTCACAGAGATCGGTGAACGAGGGATCAACCTCTCTGGTGGACAGAAACAGCGTGTGAGCCCTGCTCGAGCTATCTATTCGGACGCTGACATCATACTCATGGATGATCCCCTTTCTGCGGTTGATGCTCATGTTGGCCGCCATATTATGGAGCATGCCCTCTGCGGGCTCCTCAAAGATAAGTGCCGGATTCTTGCCACTCACCAGCTTCATGTCCTCTACCATTGTGATAGGATCATCATCATGGATGATGGAAGGATCGCTGCTTGCGACACGTTCGACAATCTCATGGCGCGTAATGAACGGTTCAGAGCGATGATGGCAACCGTCGATCGTGACCAGCAAGACGGCAATGCTGAAGCATCCGCTGCGGACCACTCAGCTGTTCAAAAAACTTCAAATATGATGGAGAACTCGAAAGACTCTCTGATGCAAGAAGAAGAGAAAGGACTCGATAGCGTCCCTTGGAGTATATACTATCATTACTTCAAGGCAGCCGGCTCCATTCTCGTCCTGCCTCTCATTCTCGCACTTCTGCTCGTTGCTCAGGGAGGCAACATCATCACCAGCCTGTGGTTGGCGTGGTGGAGCTCAGACAAGTTTAGGCTTTCTACTGGCAAATACGTTAGTACTTATGTCAATGCAGACCTTTGTGATGGATATTGACGGATCACAGATCGGCATCTATGCTGCGCTGGGTGTAGCCCAAGCCGTTATACTGTTCCTGTACTCAATCAGTCTCTCTCTGGCCGGGACAGAGGCGAGCAAAAAGCTCCTTCACAGAGCCATACACCGAGTCTTGCGTGCTCCCATCTTTGACACAACGCCTCTGGGCCGCATCATGAACCGCTTTTCCAAGGATATTGACACCATGGATAACAACCTGACCGACACGATGCGCGTGGCTGACATGACGATCGCCATGATCATTTCCGTGTTTATCCTCATCATCGCTTATTACTATTATTTTGCCGCTGCACTGGGCCCTCTGCTTCTAATATACCTGTCTGTGGCGGCTTATTATCACGGAACTGCGCGGGGCCTCAAGAGGCATGAAGCAGTCTTGCGCAGCGTCGTGTTTGCACGTTTCAATGAAGCGATTTTTGGCATCTCGACAATACGAAACTATGGTTTACAGGATCAATTCCTCAGGAGGATCAATAACGCAGTCGATGATATGGACAGTGCATATTTTCTGACCTTCGCCGACCAGCGCTGGCTGAGCGTCCGACTTGACGCAATTGGGACGATTATGGTCTTCGTGACAGAGATCCTAGTTGTAACCTCACGTTTTAATGGTTCCCCTAGCATTAGTGGACTGGTCCTGTCATACCTCTTAACTGTTGTTCAAATGCTCCAGTTCACCGTGAGGCAAGCTGCGGACGTTGAGAACAGCATGCATTCCACGGAGCGGATTTGCTACTATGGCACACGACATTGAGCAGGAAGCTCCAGTTCACACTATTGCTGTAGCGGAGGACTGGCCCCAGAAGGGGGAGATCGTCTTCCACGATGTGCACATGAGGTACCGTCCGCAGTTACCTTTGGCATTGGAAGGATTCAATCTTCACGTCAAGCCTGGTGAGAGAATAGGGATTGTTGGCCGTACTGGAGCAGGAAAATCCAGCATTACCATGGCTCTCTTCCGAATGGTGGAATTGCAAAAGGCAGAATTGAAGTCGATGGTATTGATATTAGGACAGTAGGGCTGCAAGACCTCCGGTCACGGGTGTCTATTATCCCCCAGGATCCCACGATCTTCGCCGGCACTGTCAGGTCCAATCTTGATCCTTTCAACTCTCATGCCGATCTCGAGCTCTGGTCCGCCCTTCGACAATCACAGCTCGTTGACGCCAGCAACAGCAGCAAAGAAGAGGAGAATTCTCAGAGTCACATTAATCTGGAGACAACAGTCGAGGAAGAAGGGCGAAACTTCTCCCTTGGCCAGAGACAACTCCTCGCTTTCGCTCGCGCCTTAGTGCGAGGCAGCCAGATAATTGTCTGCGACGAAGCAACCAGCTCCATTGACTTTGAAACGGATCGCAAGATTCAGAAAGTGATTTCAGAAGGCTTCCGGGGACGAACCTTGTTGTGCGTCGCTCACCGACTCAAGACAATAATCAGTTATGACAGGATCTGCGTCATTGACCGTGGACAGGTCGCGGAGATCGATACTCCATTAGCGTTATACGAGGCTGGGGGACGTCTTTAAGAGTATGTGTGAACAGAGCTCCATCACCAGGGAGACAATCATAGCAGCGGCTGAAGCGTCATGATATTGAGTCCTTGTTTTGAACTGTACACTGTACATGTACATTATTGTCCAACTGTGATATTTTTCACTCTTCTCTCTTCAGGTCATTGCGGATTTTTGGGTGTGAAATATCAAATTGATAATGCTTAATGTTCTCTGCTCTTCGTAATGAAGGTCTCGCAGACATATCTGCTATGCTGCGATTTCGAGCCCCGTCTCAAAATCAATGAAAGACGTGTATTCTGTCTGATTAGACTAGTGCGGAAGTAATGCAAGGTCGTCCAGCAAGAAACCATAATCAGCCATTTTGACCGAAGAATGGCTGTCCAAAATCTTCCGGTTCGTGCCCTTGAAGCAAATCTTCCCAGAACGTCCAATCCACAGAGGGCGCTTCCAGAGACATGGAAGTAGTCTCGTCCATGGTGGAATTAAAGTTCGCAGCCTGTCCATCGTTGTCGTGGACTGATTGTGACTGGCGGTCCGTAGATTGTCTGCTATCTGCGGCCGCGATGGCCGTCTTGACAAATGAGTCACCGGCATTGGAATTTCTTCTCGACAATAAAGCAAAGATGTAATTTGGTATCGACTGTCGACTTAGATCCACTGCCTCGCTGGAGAGCGCCGCTTCTCTCGCTTCCCAAGCCTTAAGTGTCAAGTCTCCAATCGCAACATATAACGTGTTATCGGTGTCCTTAATGAGTCGTGGATGATAATCGAAGACCATCTCGACTTGTTCCCATGCGGTTGTTACTAATTCGCCCGTCGTCCGTCGGCGCAGCTCATTGAGCATGTAGATGAGCGCATCCAACTGCGTTCTGGCGGTCATGTGACTCAGCAGGTGCTGCGCAAATTTCGTCTTGCGAATTAGATTATAGTGTTCACATATTCCCAATTTGGCCATGGTGATAGCAAGATGGTGCAGTGGTACCTTTGGATCGCAATATTGCAAATACTTCTGATTATAGAGAAATTCCAGCTCGTCGATCAACCTGTCTTTGGTCGACATAGGCACAGTCGAGTTTGTTATTTTCCGCGGGTCAGCCCGGAGTGCGGCCGCGTGTGGTGAGTGACGAAAGATGGTGCTGACTTCGTATTTAAGCAGGCAATAAATCATCTCTGTCGCTCTTGCGTGTTCTGGAGGTCGCTCTGACATTTCTGGATAGAGGTCACAATCGTTAACGTTCAAAGGTAGCTTGATGTTTGCAAGCTCTGTTGCTACCGCAGAGCGGTTTGTAACTCCTGGGCATCCCTGGCTGGCTCGAGCATCCAGAAAGAGTATCTGCCACCATAATCGGATGCGCATTTCTTGTTCGAAAAAGGATAATCCAGGATTGTCGTTTCCAAGACCAAGTCGCTGCCCTATCCTCACTGCCACCCCGGCTAGGATAAAAGTCGACTCAGAGTCGGGATTTGAAAGCTAACACTGTCAGATGAGTCCATGATAGATTTTGTACGTCTTCCACACTACCGCATTAAAGGGGGAGGGGGGTGGGGAAAGCAGAATGGCACATTTAAAGGCAGAAACCCAAATCATTCCCGTTCGTAAATGAAGAAATGGGAAAATTTGGCAGCTCCACATACCAGTAAAAGAACAAATGCTTGGTGCACTGTCAAGTCCTGAGAGGAAGTAAAGTTAGCTTCGCAGTTCGATATCTCGCCAGCAAAGTCGATCTCTCTTCTCCAAATGCCGTCTCGCATTCCGAAGTCGTCATGGATGTCACCGCGATATTGTATATAGAGAACATCAAAGCTTCCAAGCCATGAGGGACGTCCTGTACATTGTCCATCGCCTCTAAAATCCGCTGCTGCAGCGTTGGAGCATGGACGATCTTGGTGAGAGGATTTACTCTATCAAGAAAAATTTGCCAGAGCTTAAATATGACTTGTGGTTTGGGATGAGCATTTGCCAGAACAAGGCTCTGAGGCGAAGGTCCAAAAAGCAGCAAATTTGCGTCTGGAGAGTTGATTGTAGACGATTCTTCCAGTGATCCTGGGAGTTTCTGGTGTCTAGGGTTTCGGAGCTGTGAGATATCGTTAGATGCCGAATAGACTTCGCTCGAACTCGCGCTCGAATTCTCACCTCATCACTCAGCCCCGCCCACCAGTTCCTATAGGAATGTCAGACCAAGCGTACTTGGGCGTAACAAGCTGTTTGTGACTCACGCTTCTCAGTTCTCACCCGTTGGAGGCCTACTGTGTGCCTTTGTCTCATTAGACAATCTAGGCGTTGAAGAGTTTGACTGCTGGTTATTATTGACTTCGATTACAAAATGGATCCAGTTATCTCGGGGCGTGAAGTCAATATTGTTTCTTCTCAGGAGTTCTTCATACCGCTGGAGGCGGGCGAATACGTCCTCCTGAGCGTCATGTCGTTTCCGGCGCCGTGATAACGTGGTTTGGGCAGAATAAAGACATTCAGAGTTTGTCTTGACGCAGGAGGAGCAAGGTTCCTGGCGATCACACTTTACCTTTCGCCGAGCATACGTGGAGCACGAATGCCTCTGGCGAGGTTTGTCCTCGACATTCGACGCGTTGACCGCGCCATCCATTCGTGCGGAATCACTGGATACAGTGAGAAATAGAATAGTGTTTTATGAAAAAGAGGATATATGAATGTCGCGTTACTAGAGATACATGAGTGTTCTAGATGATGTTGTTGAAGTTGCCAAGCAATGGACTCGCACAGTTGGTGATTGGTCCGCTCACATAAATGCCTCTCTACAGTTTCGAAGACGCGATACTGCACCTTTAGACTTATTTCTCCGTTTTCTCTTGAGCATCCTGCTGGAGTAACGTCTAATATTCGTATCATCTCTGAGCACCGTTATTATTACACCAACTCATTTCTAATATGACAAAATAAATATCATCAGAAAAACATTGAACACATTCATTGAATCGCATTTCACGCGATTTCGTTCCTCCTCATTTCCATCTGTCCTGCAGATTGATTGCATCGGAAGGTGATTGGGCAGCGGCCAGGCTCAGGGCTGCCGACCTCGCCCACTTCTTCACCTGACTTCACACACTCAGCTTATCATCATCATCATCCACAGATTCATATCTTCATCATCTTATGATGTTCTTATGGACTTCATATATATTGTGACTTCCTTGCATCTTACGATTAAGACGGAATCGCAAACGCAGCCGCGCTGGTGACGTCCAGCGCATAGGTCAGATGCGGCGGCAAGATGAAGAGGCCATTCTGGCAGATGTCGTCCCCGTCGTGGCAGACGGTGTGCACCTTGGACGAGTCGACGTGGGGCAGGGCTTGTCCGTCGTCTGTACGGGTAAGCGTTAGTATTCCACTATTCCTTTCTTCGAGTTTAGAGTTTTAGGGATAACGCACCAGGATCTCCAAACAGCAAGACCTTGCTGATCCACGACGCCGTGTCGGCTGACAGCTTGGACACGGCATTATGCACAATCTGACAGCCCTGAGAGTAGCCGCCTACAATCAGCTTGGTGTTCGGACAGGACGAGCGCGCCGACTCGATCTGCGATGCCCTATAAAAGAAAATACCGTCAGATGCTGCCAGCATAACCAGCTTCATTAATCTTTGCTTACATTTCTGAGCTTCCGCTGGGGTCACCACCCTCAAGGTACCCCTCGACAGTGGCGGCATAGTCGTTAACACCCTGGATGGTGAGATCGGACGTCCGGTCCTGGAGAGCCAGGAAGAGCGGCGGCCCCACGAGGACGCCGACGTTGCCAGGCTCGCTGGTCCCGCGAGCGAAGATGACGGTATATTCTGTGCAGGAACCACTGCTCAGGCCGTTATACGTCGTCTGGAAGCCGGCCAGTTTGGCAAGGACCGAATCTAGATCCGTGATGACCTCTGACGCTTGGGAGATTGTTTCATTGATGGCAGGGAGGTGGTCCAGGAGGATGCTGAGGAATTCATTCAGGGACGTCTCCTTTTTGACCAGACCTGATCTTGCAGCAGTAGGCAAGGGCGACGCCAGCGTGCCGATGAAGAGAGGCAGCAAGGCCCCGAGTGACAGTCTGGAGAACAGCATGATCTTGGTCGAATTTCAAATATATGTTATATATATACAAACAGCACTGATTTCTCGTCCAGTCTGTCCCTGTCGACAGTAGGAAGACGTCAAAACCAACACCCTGACCTGTCAGAAAGAAAGCAACTCGACAGGTTCACAGCTTAACACTAAATACTCCATACGGAGTACATTCTGATTGACTCGGGGCCTCCATCGGACGTGAATTTAGCCAGCGCCAGCCATCCAGCCCCATGCATACGTCAGATAGTCTCCATACAGAGACTCCGCACGGAGAACATGTATGTAGCTTGGCTTACACGCTAGCTAGCCAGTTGACCAATGAGCCAGCTCGTCACCACTCTCAGTGGTTCATGCATGATCATTGATCAATTAGAGAACAATGCGGGGTATACTCCGGAGTACTCCGTCCATGTGGTCCGTCAAATAGTTAAACTTGGGTGGATCGATAGACGGTGGATATTGCCAAAACCGGAAACCGATTTTCCCGTAGGTAGATGTGCGCTGATGAAGAAATGTGTTGAATGTAACCTCCGTAAGTTAGTAGGAGCTCAGATCTCTCGCAGAGTAAGTACTCCGTACTCTCTACATGTAGGTCATACATATACATGTCTGCTGAAAGCATATACATATGTAGGCAATATGGTTATAGTTCATCATACCCAACCAACTCATATCACTACCTGTATTTCTGAACGATTCTATGAAAAAGAAAAGAAAAAGAGAAAAAAAAAAGGAGTTCCCATGCCAACGCTCCATCTGTCTACCTGTTCTTCTTGTTTGTTGGGAATCCGTGCCCCGCAATCCTCCACCGTAGTTCGTCCCTGGGTGGCTTTTCTGGTCGTTATCATCATCATGCCGATGTAACTCTGGCGTCTATGAGGATTCTGAGGAATGCAAGATCGCCATCTGATAGGGCGGTTTGTTTCCCTGGCACGATCCACTAGTTCTAGCCGCAGTCAACGATTTGCAGACTGCCGGACGGACCGATTTAGTTACTAACTTTAGACCGCTAATCAGATTCCTGCGATTTTTTAGTGTTCCTGATCACTCGTTCGTTCTAATCTTCCCGCGTGACCTAACTGACCTATCTGTGGTCAACTGACCGGGCTTTAGGTACAGACCCCTGTCAACAAAAATACGGGGTAAGAATTAATAATCCCCGTCGCGAATCGTGGTTCGCCTGGTCATGGTCGCGATCAGAGAGATGTGTTTGTTTGCTTTGATGAGCTAACCCAAAAGAAGATCCTTTGGTACTGTAGAAGATCCATTTTGGTCCCGGTTGGGGGTCCTCCGTACTCGGACTCTCGGATCAAGGCAAGAAAAAAATTGCGCAAGACTGCGGTAAGATTGCTTATCGTTGCTTTTACTTTACTTGTAACTATTACTAAACTTTGAGTTGTGTTATTCTCCGTTCATCCCTGTTACCCCGGAAAAACTCCATGGAATGAATAGATCCAAATAAACCCATCTTTAACTCCGGCTTAGACAAGACAAAACAAGTATATGTCCCAGTGTTGGAAGAAAAGTTTTTGGAGTATCCCTGTTGAAGTCAACCAGCTAATAATTCATGTGTGATGGTTTCGAACTATCGAGAAATTTGAGAGCTGTTGTGGAGAGAGGACAGTTGTATATGTATATTCTGCATTGTTGTTATGATTAGCTTGCAAAATTTGATGAGATGGATATGGGATGTGATCTAGAAGGTAGACAATAACATATGTAGTAAGTTTTGGTGTATGGAATCTATATCACCCAGATCAAAACTGTCGTTATGAAATTTCTTGGGCTGAGTTGGTAATGCTAACAATGAGTAGCAGTTTACTTGATGGTAAAGATTTGAATCGATGAGATTTGTACAAAATCTTCCAGATTTGACTATCTAGATTAGAGGAGAGGAGACTGGATAAACATGTTGTGCAGAGCTGATTCTTCTGCAAAAACATCACCACCCCCGACACCGAACCCATTCATCCACGCACACCCCGTCATCGTCATCTACCACAATGTACGACTCGTACATGGCGCCGACGATGCAGGCATGCTGCGGGATGATGCGAACTCGGGAACCCACCTTCACCTCGCTGATCATCCGGTCCTGTGCTGTCGGGTCTGAGGTTCGCGGGGCCAGGATGCCGTGCTCCTGGGACAAGCGAACAACATTCCAGGGGTATTCTTCTCCGTCCTGTTGATTATCAAGAATCTTTGCACGGCCCCAGACGCCTGGTTCGCGGCCTGGCTCACGGCCCAGACCCAGACAGCCGACATTGACCAAGATCTCGTGTCGCTCCAGGTAGACACTGCATACTTCGACCTCGATCCAGCTGGAGACCTGGTCCAGAGTCACCAAATTCGTGTCGACCTGTTGCAGGTCCAGAAGGGCATAGTTCCCCGCGTGCAGCTCCAGCTGTCCCGGAAGGTCCTTCAGCTGCTGGGAGACAGACGCGGAGGCAGCGTGCGCTGTCGGAGTCGCCCCCACTGACACTGTGAGCTCCAAGTTTGGCTGCTGAGACAGACATTTCTTCGCAGCAGAGGCGGCGGAAGCGATTTCGTGGATGAGATGGCCCTCCGCTTCCTGCAGACTGCTGCTTGCATACGAGTGGCCTGAATGGCAATAAAACCCGTAGATGTTGACATTCTCTGCCTCCAGTCCGGTCTGGATCAATTCGTTCAGTCTCTGCGATTCTGGCTCCAGGCCGGCGCGGCGGGTGCCGCAGTCGATCTTGATAAAGATAGACCACTTCTCATCAGGGCTCTGCTCCTGCAGCAAAGAGATTTGCGACGGGTGGTCGATCATCAGGAGGAACTCGACCTTCAGCCTCTTCTTCAGAAGCGCAAGCCGTCGGATGTATGACTTTGCAGGTGGGACACCATATAGAATCTAGAGCGTCACGTCAGGTTTTCAATATCAATTATACTGTGCCAGATGTCTCTAAATCTTACACTGCGCACGGTTCCTTTCCTGACCAATGGCTCAATGAACTCGATCTCCTTCAGCGTGCTACAGACGATTCGCCCATCGCCATGTCGCAGCTCCTCTTCCGTGCCTTGGATCGTTTTGTGCGTTTTGATATGCACACGAAATTTCGCGTTCAGCGCGGCCGCTCTGTCATGCATCCGCTTGCAGTTGTCGGCGAATTTCCGTCGATTGAGATACAGCGTAGGCGTGGATATCTCCGATCTCTGCAGGCCCTTGTAACCCAGCCATTCTCGAAGGACCTGGCGCAAAGACTGACCCTCGACGAGGGGAGCAGACCCCGGGAGCATAGGGAGTCCGACACGATTGTGCCAAACTACCGGCATTCCTGCTGCTGCGGCGCCCGTAACGTCTCCGTTGCTTCCTGCCACAAACAGTGCGTCTGACGGATCGGTGACCCCCAGAGCATCGAGGATAGCCTGGTACGCCTTGGGATGCGGTTTGTAGAAGCCAGATTCCTCTGCCGTCACCACTGCATCGAAGGGCACTCCGCAGCGAACAGCAGCGCGGTGTCCCAGCTGCGAGGAGCAGTTGGTCACGACGGCAATTCGGTAGCCTCGTGCCTTTAAACTCTCAAGCACCTCTGGTACTTCAGGCCAGGGCTGCAATTGGTCCCAGCTGGCCAGCAGGGTGGCAGCAGCAGCAGATGAAAGACCCGTCTCGCTGGCTGACTGCTCGACGAGACGCTCATATGGCTGATAGGCGCCTGATCCAAAGGTGATTTCCAGATAGCGAGTTCGCCAGCGACGGCCAGCAGTGTCGTCTCCTGCGGCGGCATTCCAGAGCGACCAGCTGTCCAGCAGGGCTGTCAGGAGATCGAAGACGATCACTCTGGGAGACATGCTGCGAGAAAAGGCTGACTCTGAAGTACTTGACTCGGGGTAGGACAACAGTCACTCAGTTCCAAATAAAAGGTTCTTCTGTTTTTATATTTAGTGTTCCGCAAGATGGTTCTGCCGACAAGTGGCAAAATTATACACCCGAAATAAATTAATGGACCATTGACTCACCGGAGGGCACGCCCTCTTGCGACATTCGAGGGCTCGCTCGACAGTAGTCAGATAAATGGTCTCAGATCAAGCGAATAAAGTAGCTGTATCTGGCTTGACTGGCTGCATGAACACGATTGGAGGGGCTTCGTTGGAGCTGGAGGAATGCGGGGCAGGAAATTTAGCGTATGCAAAATTTGGTGCAGTTTTGGCACCCCAAAACCTCAAAAAATTGCAACTTTTGTATCGGAAGCCCTCCAAACCACCAAAATACTGATTTTTCTCACCAAATCCCATCGATTTTTTACTGAATTTGTCATATCTGAGGTTCTTCTGACTTTCTAATTAGGAAATTATAGCCTATGTCTGTGCCGATATCGAGATTACCCCCGTATCGCAGAAAAAATGGCATCCGAGGCGACCAACTCTCCAGAATCCTCTGCACCCCAACTCCAGCAAACGAAGCAATCCCCGGAGCCTTATAGATACCCT